GGATCGTCATCCTTGGCGGCCTTGTCAAAGCTTGATAAAATCCACTACCAAGCTGCTGTTATATGTGCTGGGGTACTGCATGGCTCTAACACCTCAAAAACGTTAAAATGTTTACAGTGGAAATCGCTTACTGACAAAAGACACGAAAAAATCTAAGACTGATGTTCAAAATTGTAAGAAAGGAAGTGCCTTATTATGTCCATAGTCTTTTTGACCAACATCGCAACCAAGAAACTAGAATTTTAAGACACTCTTTACCCTTTTCCTGCCCAAGAAATATTTCAATGAGACTCTCCAAAGCACCAGTTTTAAAACTTATAAATGATTGGAACCAGCTAAACCAGACTTTTCGTGAAATTCAAACCATTTCTAGATTCAAAAGCTCTATTAAACAGATATTTATCCCTATTTCAAACTTCATACCAACTACAAAACTAAATTTAAGTAGAACCAACGAAAACTGCTAAATAGGCTTCGAGTTGATTTTGCCCTTAAAGATCATTTCTTTACTCATACTTTTACTGGAATAATTGACAACAAATGCCTCTGTGGCTCTACTGAAGACACAAAGCATTTCATTCTAACCTGCCCTCGCCATACCCATGAACGTAATAAAATGATGATTGCACTTCATGAATAAAATTTATTGTTTGATACTCAACTTATTTCTAGTAAGACAGAACAGGTCAAATACTTAATTTATGAAAATGAACTCACTATTGATTCTCAGAAAATCCTGATAGATGATAGTGATGCAATTTGTACAGGCCTGTTATAAGTTTCCATCAAATTAATGTTATTCTTATTTGTATCTTGTGACAACCCCCCCCCCTCCCTCCCAACCTCTCACATTACCAATTAACCATCTATGATTACTGTAATTAATCCTCTATTGTAATTTAAACTACCTAGAATGCCTATGGCGATTGGTAGTAGATATTTTGTGTATTTTTTGATTATGAAGGAAATAAATAATATGTTAAAAAAAAAATTATAACTTTAATTTGTTTTTGAGAAATGAACATTTTATTATCTTATTAAGAAATGCTGTCAAATCCTTTTTAGACACGATTTGAAACTTGTGGAAAACTAATCCTCTCGTCTTTCTGGCAAATACACTCCCCTCCAAAAGTTTGGCAACCTTAGCTCCCTGCCTCCTCTTTTTAGCTTACACTTGTATCTAGTACCAGAGACATGCTCACATAATTGCCTCCCTTAATCCATTTATTTGCTAAACATATATAATTAATCACATTAACACGATCCACTAAAGTTTGATATTCTTGAAAATAGAGCGTATACTACACTGAAACACTTTAATCTTAAAATGATCTCCGAGATGAACTTCTTTGTGAGTTATTTTTTTTCTTAACTTGATCCAACATTAAAGCAAATCAAACTTTTTGTCATATTAGAGCAAGTGTGTGAGAAACATGTTTCAATGATTTTTTTCTTCTGAATTAAGTATAGTGTGCCTTTAATATTTGCTTTTGAGGACTTATCAGCCCCGGGGACTTAGCAAGAATTTTTTGTTTGAAATAAAACAAAACCGAGGGGCACGGATATGAAAGAAAATGTGTTAATCATTATTAAGACAGTTGGTTTATTTCACCGTAGATGGAACAGCTTTTAAGTTGGAAAATAAGTTGTGCGAAATTATTGATATTTTTCTTTGCATAATGTCATGATGCTCCGGAGTCTTCCCAAAATTAGACAATCCCACCCTGTGCCTGAGGTTGCCATACTTTTGGAGAGAAGAGTAACTTTACCATTTTATCTACTGGTCATATAAATTGAATATATGTTTCTGGTTATTGCAATTAATTTTTCCACAAATATTTTTTTGGGGAAATCCCGACGGGGGTTCGTCCGAACCCATCAAACCCTACGGCTATGGATAGCATGTTAAGTGAATATTGCTGGTATGCATTAAAAGTTATCACATAGTGGAAACATGAAACTCCAATAGTAAATTAGTAATGCTTGATAAATAAGGAGAAGCCACTAATGCTTCACATTAACATCTATGTTTATGATGTTATGTTGAAAATACCTTAACTAAATAGCCTAACTTCTGGCAGATATACAATACTTATGGTATGTTGCTTTAATTTTATGATATTGCTTTTTTCTATGGTAACATTTTGTGTTGCAGGTAGACAGATTAGTGGAACTTCACTTCAAATATTTAGACAAAGTAAAACTAGTTGATAAATCCATTGAAAAGGAAAAGCAGGTATGTTTCTTGTTATATCTTAAAGTTTATTATATCACCGCCAGATGTGGTCACATATTGTTATAATCTCAAACGTTTTTGTGGAGATTGTTTGGTGGTTGGTGTTCAGCATCTGTAACAAATGGTAGGTGGTGACGTTTTGTATGTTAATGCCTTGTTAGGCACTGTGTTAGTCACTTGCATTTACTATAAGGTCTATATTTTTGTTGACATATCTGCTTTTTAGAAGTTCATAGCATCATGAAAAATACACTTAATTAATATGCAGCACTGAGATTTGAGAAAGCACCCAAAAACATGATATTGAAAGCACATATAATGTGTAGAACTTATATGAGATAATTCTGGGCCCACATTTTGGGTCACCCTGTACTCTAGCATGTACATGACAGAACACAAATATAAATATACTTGTTAATGGCTCACACAATGAGCCTATGGGATCTACCAGGCGTCCGTCCGTCTGTTGGTCCGTCCGTCCGTCCATCCATCTTTCAACATTGGCTGCACAAGTTAAAACTGCTATTCGGATTGAGTCATATCCACATTCATTTTATGCATATCCATAATGCCTATTTGACCTATCATCGCCATTTCCCAAGTTCGCCCGGTTTCCGAGAAATTGCTGATTTTGACGTCAAAAAGTCAAATTTTCTGTAAATATGAAGGTTCTACACTGTGTGAGCAGGGGACTGTGGGTCCTTTATTTTTCATGTTTTACAGGAGATGGCTAAATATGGGGGAGATGTGGATGAAGAATTGGAAGATGAATTCTATCTCGGGCGGTTAGATGCTGGTCTTTTTACACTACAACTTATAGATTATATAATTCTTGAAATATGTGCAGCTACAGTAGTTTACAAGGGGTACGTTTTTAGATGCTAGTCTCTAAAACTTCAACTCATCATTTTAATCATGTTTAATGTGGATATCTTTTTCAACATCTTTGGATAAGTCTCTTAGTGGTTAAAAATGGACCTCTGGTACAAGTTTTCCCATGCTGGATTTACAGCTCGGGCTATCGTGTTACACATTTCATGTAAAAGCCAATATGTACCTTGTATATCTGTTAATCGGTGAGCAATAGCACTGCTACCCACCTAATTACACAGACGTATCGTCGGTGTATCATGGCGGAACTTCCTCCGGGACTAGGTTTCGGTAAGATTTTTTTATTTCCCGATTTACACCTACTTATAAGTCACGTTGTGGATAATAATTTGGCTCGAAGTTAAGGAAGATAGTCTAGTTTGAGAATGTGTCGATGGTTTTAGGTTTTATATGTTAACAAAGACAAAATTCACGTATTTAGTCCCTCGCTTTTCTTACACTGACGAACGACCAATATCAGTGTTATATTGGCAATATTAATGCCGTTAAAAAATGGCCGCCAATTTTAATGAATTTTACTATAACTCGAAAAGTAGTGGAGCGATTTTGTTCATATTTGGTATGTGAATACTTTAAGCATGGCACACTGTCTAATGACTCTTTTGGTAGAAGGCGGCCATTTTGAAAAATGGCTGCCATTTTTGCTATATACTTTGTTTGTAAATATGCCAGCCATGGCTGTCCGATGGGATTTGCTACGCTTTGGCATTGCTGTTGTCTAGTTATTATTCAAAATCACTGTATCACATTTTCTGAGGAAAGATAAATTAACATCCTTTGGGTTGTCTTAAACTACTAGGCCGGTATGTCAGTATTTCTTTACAAAGCATTGAGCAATGTGACCTAAACTCTTTACATGTTGAATGCTGTACATACAAAAGGATGAGTTCACAACATTTTTGTATTGACATAGCAAACCTGAAATGTATAAAAAAAACAGGTATCGCAACAGATTTTAGATAGTCATATGTTGAATTGTGGCTATTTTCTGAAGATTTACAAAGTTGCATATGTTAGGCCCATGCATTATCCAAAGGAAAAGTGCCCATAGAGATGATCAAATAATTTGGACTTCGAGACAGGGAAACAGTCACCAACATTTTTTTGTTTTCATGATTTTCATCCCCTTCCACTCATGTTTTTTCAATGTTTTAAGCATCAATATGTTGCATTTGTAGACACAGTTAACCTCTTAAAAGGAAAATATGTTTCAAGTGTAAATCAATATTTCCCATCTTATTTTCCCCTCGGAAAAATTCATGCGATCCATTGTTTTCAGCTTAATTTTGCGATACCTTCCATGGTCCTTAATTGACAAAAATAGTTTTTTTTATTAAAAGTAATTATTCAAAATATACACATTAAACAAATCATAATTAAAATGAAGCAATAAAAAATCAAAACTACAAAATGCGCATTCTACTGTATACAATATCAAAAATGTCCACCTCTACATGTATTTTAACGGTATACAATACTATATCTAGTATCAAAAATCTCCACTCCTACACATATTTTTACGGTATACAATGTCATAAACCTCCACCTCTACATGTATTTATAAAGTATGCTATGTCATTAACCTCCATATCTACATATAAGTAAAGTATACAGTATCATAAACCTCCACCTCTACATGTATTTATACAATATATAAAACAAATCATCAACATTGTTGCAAAGGATGATTTCTAAAGGCACCCATAAAAACTGAACTTTTTGAAAAATATACCTTACGATGTTAAAATCTAAAAATTCATTGTTGATTTTAGGTTAAAATCCTTCAAGAGTTGCTGGTTAGTACACGATATCCATAGGCATTTTATACTAAGCTGGAATATTCTCATAATTATAACATGCCTACATGGTGAGTCAAAAACGTCAAACTGTCAAATTCTAAGATTTCGTATTCATGGCAGTTTCAGATCTACGGTCACCGTTTGCAACCTCCGAGTAGACCACCTTATCTGATTTCTTGCAACAGAATATACCTCGGAGCATATTTTTGTACCCCGTTCTAAAATACTTGTTAGCAATGATATAACAGAGGCAGTCAGACCCCGGCTGTATGTGACCGAGAAGATTTGCAAATGTCCAAAAATCTCTTCCGTAATCGACAATATGATGCGAGAGAATACCGACAATAAAAGGTACCCAGTGAATCACAGAGGCGGTGAAGATACAGGACAGCATCTTGAAGTTCATAACCAAATCATTCAGTTCTTTCCTAAGTTCCTGGGCCTTGTCGTTCTGCATGAAATCATCCTTGGGTACCGTCATGAAACCACCCATCAAATGTAGAGCTGGGGCTATCAGTGAAAGCTATAATACAAGAGATGGTATGAATAATTTATGCAACCACGCGTAAATATGTGAAATTCTAAATTGACTATCAAATTTTAGAATGCGTTAATATGAAGTCAAAACAGCATTTAATATGAAAAGCTAATAATTTATGCCTAGCTGTTGCCAGCCTTTTAGAGGGTGGTAAAAAATTTGAATGCTTTGCAAGGGCCTTCAAAATTCTACGCAGCCTAATAAGTTACTTTAAACGTACACTCCTCTTTTTCTGTTTTATCTTGAAGAGCGTCATAATGATGGAGACGAAAGTTGACGTTACCGACACGATCAAAATTGCAAACTGGTAGAAATTAGTCGGCCAGAAATCCAAGTCATATTGGCAAAGCATGCTTTCCGGGTCATATTCATAAGCGACCCAAGTCGAAAGGGTAGGCGCATACGTCAGAAAAGAGAGAAGCCATGGAAGGAATGCAATCGCTGGTGTCGTCTTCCACGTGAAAATACGGAAATACTGCTTGGGAAAATAACATAAAATCATCCTGAAATAAAAACAGACTTAAAAGCAAGAGAAACGGCGTTTTAACACGATTTAGTACTTTCCCTCTTTATTGTGAATGAATGGACTCGATGATATCAAATACAGGGTGTTCCATAATGACCGTCCACCATCCAAAGACATCCCGGAATATATTCCATGGCCCCAATAATATTTATAAATCTTTGAACGAGCCTCTATTTGGTGTCACCCTGTATAATGTCGTGTCGAATACGATGGAATCATTATATAGGAAGCAAATAATCGTTGAAACGAACCTGTTAATTGCCAAACCAGTTACACTCCAAAAGGCAGCGTTACATGCTATCCAGCAAACTGCTCCAAGAAACTCACACAATGTGACCTTGGGATAGAAATACAGCTCCCCCTGTACCACACCTGTAAAATGAAGAATATTGATAATATGTTGCAGATTCATTAAAAACATGATTTTAATCAGGAAGTTTCACCAGCATCTTTCTATTCACATAATTTATATTTATCTCTCTCATTAGAATAAAGGTACAACTAAAGTTACAGAGTTTTAATTAAGGCGTGAATCAGTTAAAAAGAACTGGTTGTAAACTGTGCGCGAACGGTATGAACGTAGCTACAACTTTCTACAGTCTATCTACGAACCTTATGGACGTGTTCGGTCCTACTAGACTACGTCTTCTTCCATTCTACTACGGGATAGGGACGCGTTAACGACGTTTTGCAATCGGATATCAATTGCATCACATGTTCACGTCACCGACAATATGATGCGACCTGGACAAACTTTGATTGAGATGGACGTATTTAATTAAGACTGTTTATGAACATTTAGCACGTTTTACGACTTTATCGTAGGACTGGAAAGAATCATTCTGATACTCATAGAATCTCTCTCTGTTGCATAGCAGATGCTATCCAGAAGGATAGAGATGGAGAGGGTGTGGCTTACCACGATGGGAAAGAACGGTTGAGAACAAGTTTGGTGTGATAGGGGGTTACAACTGACAGTGTAACTATGTGCAGGCCCGTAGCCAGGCGGAGGGGGGGTTCGTTTTCAAAATCATGCAGTGTTTCACCATTCTGACTATTTTTTGAGTGATTTTTGGCCAAATTTGCCAAAGTGAACCCCCCCCCCTAGAATTTTTGGGAAAAGTGATCCCCCCCTTGGAAAATTATGGTTACGGGCCTGATGTTTTTTTGATTTATGATTTGTTATGATTTTAAAAACTAAAATACTCTATAGTTCACTTGATACGTATAGTTGATGAACGGTACTGTCAAGTTATTTCTTAAGTGGCGTCACTTGCATTCAGCACGATCTGATTTATTTAGCAATTTTTTCATTCTGAGGTGATCATGAAACCCAGTCAGGACATAAGATTAATGTTGTATTAGAATCAAGTGTAAGTTGACGCACATTAAAAGGACCTAAAAATGAAAAAACAAGATATCCATTGTAAAATGCTACAGGGTTTTGTACGAATATGAAAAAATTAGTCAATTTGTTCTTAGTTGAAAACTAGAAGTAAACTCTAGGAGCCTTGTAGTCTTGTTTCTCTATTGCTTTGAATGGATATAAAGACCCATGTCTACATTTCCTTAACAGGATTTCCTTTAGGTAGAACCTGTACTCTTTACCAAACGGAAAATAACGACTTTGAACTAGTTGTATTTGCACCTACTCGTATTCTTATATGGGTTAGAGATCTTTCCGAATCCACTGTGTACACACTATTATTTTCAAATCGTCAATGTCGAAAATTATGTGACTGTGATTATAAAGATTGATGATTGACCCCACGGTGGAAAAAGCTAATAAATAGAGGATATCCTATGATTTATGAGTGAAACGATCCGGCAATGTTGAGACTTAGCCTCGTTTTGAGTCTGAAGTAGCAAAAATCCATAAGGTGTCACTACGGTAAATCATTGAAAAATATTGAAAAAAATCACAAAATTCAAGTTCTGGGGTACATATCGCCATTTTCGAACGAACTAGCCCATACAATGACTATATTTCTGAGTTCCCCTATACATAACCTTCATCTTGACACTATATTTAACATAGGGTTTGCGTCTCGATTTTTAAATATCACTACGCCAACATAGGGACTCATTTTTAGGTAAAATCCCTACTTCACCGATGAAAATTAACGAGTAAAGTAGTTCCAGTTTACGGGACTATATTCTTGCGATTTTTTTTCTTAAAATGGCACATTTAGAAAGTACTTGGCCTCAGCTTTACAGACATACCTCAAATGGCCACATTGCATACACTTAAACCTACTATACACACCATTGAAGTTGGCATGGCCTCGTTTTTAAAGTATTAAAAAACACTGTCCTACCCGGAAGTGCTATTTACAGGAGTGACACCTTAAACCATCGCATACGACGTCGTATGTCATGGCTAAAAAACCGTATGTTATGGTTAAGTGAAAATTTGTCAAAATATCATATTTTACCACTGATTACAAAAATACCGTTTTTATTTTCACATGTTATCCTATGAATATCATGCTAACTATGGAATAACTCCGGTTACAATACCGGCACATGTACAATACATATTTTATTGGAGGGATGGAATATGAATTTTATCGTCTAGATAATATGATATTGACTTCGGTCAATATGATATTGTCCTTGGCCAATATCATATTTTCTCCGGAATAAAATTCATATTCCATCATGACCATCAATATGACCTATTTTTATCCAATGCAATCTAGTTTTAGAGAGATAAGTTGGTAAGGTGTATCCCGTATCCTCATTTTGAGGTTTCCATATCCAGAACCTCCATATGCCATATTTTTATTCAATAATATATTTTCTGAAACTTATTCATTTTCAAGTTTTAGTTGTCATCACACATTCACGGGGGTAAATGAGAACCTATCACACCATGAGCTTGCTCGGCGGTTTCATGGCTGTGTCGCGGGGCTTAATGTAAAAGCGAGCTCGTCGGTATGTTCAGCTCATCGTGGATCCCCAAAAGCTCGCGGTATCATCGTGTCTGCTAAACCCCCGTGCCATTGAATAAATAATATATTACCTGCTATGCTAAATGGCAATACACACGTCAGAACCAATATATCGGAAGCAATCAATGATACAATAAACATATTTTCAGGTACTTGCAGGATCTGCAAAAAATATTATCATTTATATATTGAAAAATATGAAATATAAAGGCAAAACAGAGCTCAATGCACAATATGATATAGTTGTTACAATAAATGATATAAAGATATTCTTAAACTTAAACTTTTCTAAAAAGGAGTATCTTACTCTTTTTTCATTTGTAGCATTTTTTAAAAACAAGTCCCACATTTCTAAAAAATTGTTGAGGCAGGGTCCTTATATATCAATGAGTTCGGGGATTTATAATTTTATTTACAAGGGACGTTATTTGCATGAAAACATATTAATTTTATATGAAATGGCGTATCAATGATGAGAAAAGGATCTCTCTAAAATCATTCTCCATACCATACATGGTCCTTCAGAATTGTGAAAATTAGAATTTTGCATACATTTAGAGTACAGCATCATAATATACAAACAAAACTTACCTTTTCTCTGAAAATAGACATAAGTGCAAGAAGGTTGCCAAACAACCCTAATGTCAAACATGTTGCGGCAAGTATTATGTAAACTGCAAATTTTCCGGGGGAATCTTCAGCATAAGGAGGGTATGTCAAGTGATAGATCCGATCAGATGAATTTGTTCCGCTGATATTATTCAAATGCTCTATGTGGAAATCCATTTTTTCCTTCTTTGTATTTCAATCAATACTTGAAGTTTCCTTCTCTTGCTCCGATCAACATGTATTCTTTATGATAAGTACTGGAATAACCCGGCCCAGATTTCATAGACGAAGATGTAACTCGGCCCAGAATTCATAGATGAAGATGTATCTTTGTAACGATTAATCTCTAGAAAACATTTAAGCATGGTGATAGGTTCAGCTATGACCTCTGGGGTAAGCTTATATCCTGAAATTTTATGAAGCTAGACAGTGTAAACCAGAACAACGGCAACGCCAAAGCGTAGCGAATCCCATCGAACAGAAACTACCCAAAATTTCATAAGACAGTATGCAATCCTTATGAGTATTCACATATCAAATATGAACAAAATCGCTCTGTTACTTTTTGAGTTATAATAAAAAATGTTAAATAACACACATAAAAATGATGGCCATTTTTCAAAATGGCCGACTATCCCCAAAGTTTTATTAGACAATGTGCCATGCTTTAAGTATTCACATATCAAATATGAACAAAATCGCTCCAATACTTTTCGAGTAAAAAATGTAAAAATGACAGCCATTTTTTAAAATGGCCGCCTACCTCGCGAAGTGTCATGAGACAGTGTACAAGGCTCATGAGTATATATCAAATATGAACAAATCGCTCCACTACTTGTCAAGTTATCGTAAAAAACGTAAAAATGGTGGCCATTTTTCAAAATGGCCGCCTTCTACCCAAAGTGTCATTAGACAGTAAGTCATGCTTATAGTATTCACATATAAAATATGAACAAAATCGCTCTACTACTTTTTAAGTTATAGTAAAAAATGTAAAATAACACACGTAAAAATGGCGGCCATTTTTCAAAATAAGTGACAAATAAGGTCCTCTATTTGCTCATAAGACATAAATCTACTAGCCTGTACACTGATCAAATTATTACTCTTGTAATGAAAAATGGCGACCAGTTTAAAATTTGGTGGCCATCTTGAAAATTTCTTCCTGAACAGAGCTCCCGTTTCTTAAAATTATTACCGATGCAAGAGTAGACAAATACTAAGATCTAATTAAGTTTTTGGGCATTTAAATCCCTAAATTACTTGTTTGCTATTTTGATATCTTAAACGTGCGGTTCTATCGTGGTATTTAAAATCCTTCGAGAGAACATCAAACTTACTATATATGCTTTGCAAAAATGAGCAAAAATGACCGGCCACACTGAGTATATACAGTTACTCGTCAACAACAATGTCCCCGGGTGACTTAGATTAAAAAATGACTACAGATTGGGTGAAAAAATTACATTCAACATATTTGTGATAATTCATCATTAAGTTTCCAAACTTTAGGTATTATTTGTCCAGTCTTATAACAACTAGATATACAGGGCGTATCAAAAAACGCAACGAACAGTTATCTCGTAAAACCACAAAACCAGTGATGTCTTACTACATCAATTTCCTTCAATGTGCACGCCATAAAGCCACGTTCTTCTTTGCACTGTGATGTCAGCATTGGCGTTTACAGTAGTGGTTAGGGTTGGGCGATCATTCCTTTTGCACTGTCGGCCAAAGGTCCAGATATTGCAAAAGTCAATTTAGGGCTAAGTGCGAATGGGAGTTCTTGCGGAATTACTGTGACCCTTTCTTTTGGAGCCATCTCAGGAGAGTGTTCACCATTCATCCACCAGATATTGCAAATCTTCGAAAAAGAATCGCCTGAGACTGAGCGAGCTGAGCCATGTATGACATGGAGAGATGAGCCCATCTCTAATTGCAAAGAATTGGTGGCCATATAGAGGAGTATAGGATGTAATCTTGCATGAGCACTAGCGGATCTAGACGGGGGGAGTCAGAATTTTAACTGGACATCAAAATAGATGGTTATGAATATGATAGTTTCTATATAGCAGAAAAAGCAATGGAATCTAGTGCTGCCATCTTTTATTCAGCTTTTAATTTGGGGTAGAGTTCCATTCACTTACATGCTAAAATCTTGGAAAGTGGCTTAATTTCATGATTTATCAAAGAGTGTTAGTTGAATATGTATAAAACTTGAATGATATACCCCATTATGACCCTCTTTATGTACATGTTGAGATTAAACATGCAAATGTTGGTTGACATTCAAATAATCCAAGGTTTTAAAGAATTTTAGCATTGCATCCATGGAGATTTGGCCCAAGTTTTTTTTAATTGTCATAGAAAATTATTCAAATTAAAAAACTGTAAATCAAAGCTATTGTAGGAGAAAACATTTCACTGGATTCAAATATGCTATTTAAAAGAAGGTAATGTAAGTCATTAGAGGTCTAATATGGAAATCTCTTAAAATCTCACGAAAAACGATATTTAGCGAGATTTCAAAAGCTATATGGAAACTATACTATTGTCGATAACGCATTGCATACGCATAAATCCGCCCCGGAAATGGGACCTACGCCCTGAAATTGGTCAGAATGCACCAAATGCTGTTCAATTTTCGAAATTCTATGGGGTGAATTCCCCAGACCCTCCTATTCTCGCTCTGGAATTGGTTAAAATGCACCAAATGATCTTCATTTTTCGAAATTTTCTGGGGGGAGAACCCCCAAACCCCTATTAGTTGCACTCACGAACGAGGTTTACTTCTCACAGTTATTATCAAACGCCCCGCCCCCTAACACAAAATCCTGGATCCGCCTCTGATGAGTGTATTCATACTAAGCTCTCTATGCCACACCTTCCAATATCCCTATATGCCCCGTGCACTGACCTTTACAATGTTTAAAACTTGGGTCCAAATTGATTTTGCCCCATTTTGCAAAAGCAATGATCATTCAGCCAACCATGACTAAATGTGAATGAATGACATACCACTGCAGAGGAGTTATGCATTCTGATACTCATCACATCCTTCTGCATTCTTGACTATTGGTTTTGTAAACAAAATGTAACAATAAACAATGGATTGAATTTAATAATATAATATATATTGCCTTTTAAAGTCAACATTCATACACCTTTACCATTACATAACAATATAACTGACATTTACTAGGACCTAATAACTAGACTACAGCAGAGGACCTGTTCCATCACTCACTTCATTGGGTTAGGTCAAAATGTCAAACTCTATCAAACATTTAAGATACATCTTTTTTCTGTTTGGCTGTGTATTACACTGCACTAAACATCTTTTGCATTTTGCCCTTATTTATAATTATCATTAAGGGTCAGGTAAAATATAAATTATTTTTCTTTGGAAACTTAATCATTCAAGACACAGCCCCCTCCTCAAATTTGATAAACCTTATCAATTTTTGAAATTACACTAATATCATACATTTCAAATAACACAAAACAAAACTTTACTTTAACTCCTCATCTTATCATAAATATTTTTGCAAAAATGACAACTGATATTTGACCTGACCCCCTTCAATGATTTAGCATCAAAATAATTGTTTAATCAATGTTTTTCCTTTACAATTATTATTGGCGCGAGTGTGCTCCAAAGGGAATGCCACTGTGATGTAATACCAAGGTTTTTTACAACGAAATAGCGAGTAATTTTCTCCATTTTGTTATTTACCAAAATTGCCTTTTGTTTCAAGGAATTCTGCCTGTGATTTCTTCTTTTATTTTCCCTCTGCCAGATTTCTAATTCTAATAATGAAACTCTTGAGTAAGAGTAAGAATGTTCACTTGGAAGAGTCGACTATTGAGAACAATGAGTCAAAGTGAGTTATGTCAAGTCAACAGTCAAGTACAATGAGTCAACAGTCGAGTTCAATGTCTACACAGATATTGAAAACATGATCTTCTTGAAACTTATGTACAACTTTGAAAAATCATGAATCAATTTTTTAAGGTTGACCAAGATAAGGTGTACACTGTAATAGATGATTAAGGTGGGAAAAACAATTGTGTAAGTCATTTTGGAACATATCAGCCTTTAACATTTTATGAGCTTAACTTCATGTAATGTAGATACTGTGCACAACCTGCTCTAGAATGATGGAGAAATTGATATTGGCTGGGTTAAACGAGCAAACTTGACTTTCTCAAGTAGAAATGTTGCGGACATAGCAATACTAGAGTTATAATCTGGCAATCATTTCCACTTGATATATGCTATAGCAGAGATTTTTTTATCATTATCCCACGGGATAATTCTTTTTGGTACAAAAAAATAGAAAACATTAAGTTCCAAAATCAGATAATACCAAATTAAAGGGCTAATAGCTGCATTTCTCATCTAAACTACCCCAAAGTAAACACCTCCAATCCACACTCTAAAATAATGGTACTTTACATAACATTAAGAGTATGGTCAAGAACAATACTGTTTGAGTATGGTACACTATGGTGTCATGGTATCTTAGTCTACGGTACCATATTTCACTGCACCTTAGCCCATGTAGCCAAAACGCTACCGCAGTTTACTGTATGAGATTGGCTGTGTATGTTAAAATCATATATGATATCTAACAATCAATAGAGTTGGACATTAACTTTTTTTAATTTATCAAAGCTTCACATTAATTCCTCACCCAAAGTAAGCAGTTTAGTGAGTTCTGAATTGACTAAATCACTTGCACTTTTATACATAAACAATCTTTAAAGCTTCAAAACTTACAGAAAATGTTTACATCCAAGTCTATTGATTGTGCAATATAATATAATTATGAAAAAGTTGTTTTAGCGTGAAAATACAGCTATTAGGCCTACTCCCTTAATTAAACATTGACTAACACAAATTCCATGACAAGATATAAATCACATTTATTCAAGATGCAAGTCTGGTTAAGGCCAGGGTGCACTTCAGAATTTTTTTGCAATTTTGAAAAGTAAACCACTGAATTTTCTAGTTATTAAAACATTCTGAAGAATTATAAACCCTCAATTAATAGTCTAGGTAAACTAATGCATCTTTTGTGCAAGAATGAAAGATGTAGATGATGTGTGGAATGAGTTGTTTATCTGAAAATAGCACATGGTCATGAAATTTCATCAAAGTGCACCCTGACCTTAAGGCCAGTCAGATTTTCACGTAAAAACAAACAATGATACTTGTTGTATCTTGCAAATGTTTCACTGTTGAAATTATTATCTCTAATCTCTGTTTTTTCATTTGTTTTGCCCCTGCAAACACTTAAATGTTACAATACTAGGGCTAAGCTATTGCACAGTATTTATCTACGAAACTAAACAGATACTCCGATAAAAACCCATGATTGTGGTATTTCACGTATCCCCTCAAGGTGTTCACAAGATATGATAATCAATTGCCTCACATTAATTTGACATTGTCAGTTATCACTTTTCAGAATATACAAAATATATAAAATGATCAATTTCCTATCCCTCAGTACTTAACTTAATTAGTATCCAATTTGTTAATTGCATGCATATAAATGTTTGTATATTTCTATTATTCACTGTTTGTATATTTTCTAATTTTCAACAACAATAGGTTCATCCGAATGCGACCTTGGCCGTTTCCATTTACGAAGATCGGAAGAGTTCAATCGTTTCAATTTGATTTTCATGGTCCTTAAATGCTTATTTTGTACATGGGCATTGTGTTCCTGGCCTGCGAGTAAACTCTTCTTACAGATTTGACATTTCACGTAAGTCCCATGTGCTTCTCTGGTGTGCTTCTTAAGGTTTTCCATTGTGCTGCATGTGTATGTGCACATGTTACATTTCTTTTGATGTACTGAAGCTATATGTTGGCTATATGTGACCATGTTGGGGAAGCTCATATTACAAGGTAAACAGGGTATTCTCTTGCCATCAACACAAGGGACATTTGCATCGAAATCGCTTACTTTGAATATAGCTCCATGGGTCATTAAGATATGATTCTTGGTCAAATCTGGAGTTGTAAACTTCTTACCGCATACCATACAACTGCATTTCTGAAGCATACCTAATAAGGAGATCTTGTGGACCTGTTCCAAATGCTTCGAAAAGAGGCGATTGGGAATCTTGTTTCTATTACAGATATAACACGTCATAGTCGGCTCATTTAGCTTGGCAATGGGGGCAGGGGTAGCAGCAGCACTGGGTGCTCCATCTTTACCATGGCCACTGAGTTGTCTGTGACGTGTCAAACCCTGGAAGGTCCAAAACCGTTGGTTGCAATGCTCACAGTTAAGATGAGCCTGGCGTTGATTGAACAAATCTTTATGGATATCCACTTGATGAGCCCAGAAGAAATGCACGCGTAAAGATTCCCGATCTTTGATGAACCCGCCACAAATTTCACATACTTCAAGTCCCTGGGATGCTGTAGGGGTAGGACTTGGGTTTACTACCTGCAGGGTGGTGGCTGTCTGGGCCGGGGTGACCAATGGGGTGACAGGACGGAGCCCAGCTGACACTAAGCTAGGTGCAGGTGAGCTGACCAGGAGTGGAGCGCTTGGAGTTGAGACTTGAAGCACATATGGCTGCATTGGTTGAAAGTAAGTATTGTTTTGTGGGTTATAGATCACCTGTTGGGACTGCCTAGCAAGTATATTAGGTCTAGCTACAGTTGCTCCTGTTGCTGAAGCATTAGAGAACGTTGTGAACCTCTGTGGATTAGCCACTGCATTCCTTACAAGTGAGACTCCCTGTTGGATAGGCCTTGGAGGGGCAGAGGGTGCTATAACTTTAGGTGGTGGCGGAGCTGGGAGAGGTTTCAACCCTCCCGGAGGCATAAACAGTGGGATATCAAACTCCATCATTGCTGGAACCTGGTTACGTGAACTATTGAACTTCTTAGCACACCCTTGTTTATGCTGGGCCATTTTATACTGATTAGCATTAGTCCAATCACAATATTTACACCTATTAGCAGGTTCTACAGGGTGTATCTTCCCCTTTCTAGTATGCTCAGCCTCCATGTGGAACATCCACTGTGCCTCGGTAGCTCCAGAAAATTCACAGAACGAGCAGAAATGTTTATAGCGTACAATATGGGGGTAATCTAAATGATCCTCTAATGACAAATGTACATCTGTTTTGAAATCACATGCTATACATTTCTTGGTCTGTTTCAATTTGTACATGTTGTTTTTATCAACCAGTTGGTCATGACCTTGTTTCAAACGGTCCAACTGTTCAAGCTCAGTCTCCTCTAGAACTCCCTTACGTTTCTTTCGCTCTTGAATGCCTATCAATTCCTTAAATGTCACCTCTCGACAAAGGTCCAATCCTGAAAATAAAAATATATTTTTGCACAACTTCGATTCAGATTCAGTGAGCAATCCTAGAACTTCAAAGTTTGATAATGCTAAAGGCCTGAGTTACATCAGCAATCCATGCTAACTCATCCATCTACTTAGGGGAGGCATCAACAATGTCTGATAGGAAACTAAATAAATCTAGTTTTGAGTTGGAGCCCCCCCCCCTCCCCCTCAAAACTAAATACAATGAAAGTTGATCGCGGACTTTTCACATGTTTTAGCGACTCAATTTGGACTTTCATGGGGCCAGAACTATAACTTATTTGTGATTCTTAAAACATGTGCCTACAACAATAGGCATAATATTCCATGTTGCATGCATCTTGGTGAAGAAGGCATCTGGTAAAGTCTTTATTTTCAAACCATTCCAAGGCATTTCAAGTCGAAATTGCGAAAAATTTAAATGTTGAAATTTGTCGGATAGCAAACTGAAATAGCTTTGACCCCCTCCCCCCAAACTAGATTTATTTAGTTTTCTATCAGACATTGATCTTTTGATGCCTCCTTTAGTTTTGTTAACTTGAAATCAACCATTTGGGACCTTAAGAACTGTTGAAAATGCAGTTGAACATATTTTATGCCTAATTAAGATTTGAAAAATCATGATTAGTTGGGATATCCAAGCTAAGGGGAAATATTTTGTACTAGAGTCTAGCAGTGATCTCCGAGCATTAAAGTACTTGAAAATGAGAAAACCATAAAAAATTGGCATATTTTGACAAATTTCGGTCTAGATTGTAGTAATGAGAATTCTGCACCCACTTGAGGAAAATCCTGCGGAGAACACTGTAGCATATATGTTGCATATACAGCCCACTAACTGTTTATAGCATATATCAGATCTCATTCTTCTTATTTTGCTTATCTACACATTGTATCTCTCCCAATAATCTTACCTATTCCATATAGTATCTTGGACATTGGCCGCAAATTTTCAGAACCATCACCCCCTTTAGGTGTCACCTGTTCATCAAATACATTCTTCTTCACAACTCTTTTTCTTGGGACCTATGAATAGAAAAAACATACAAAATAATTCAACAGGTATATGAATTTGCGTGTATATAAAATTTGTATTTTGGTTCAGTCGTCTCTTCAGTCCTTCTACCTAAAAATAAAGTAGAAATATTGTACTTGGACAAAGCCAATTGTTTCGTAATTGCAAATCATAGAAAAGTTTGTAGGTACAATGTGTTCTGGACAATAAAGTCGCATTGCAAGGTCTCTTTAACAAATAACACACGTGTTAATAGTGTTCATGCTACTAAGGCATCTGTTTATTAGAATGCATTTGTTGATGAAAAAAGTGAAAGAAAATGGTCAATTTCATTTATTTTCCACTGTGTCTAAAAAATCAATAAATGAGTTGTCATGTTGATCTAGCTGCCATCTTTTAACAAAACTTGACATCGCTTGAGCTAGAAATAGCTCAAATTTCACTAACCAATCAAATTGTAGATTGAATAAATTATGTTAATGTGTAACCACTGCAGGTTATGCTGTTTACACAGAGCTGGTTCAAATCCAATCCAACCTGGCAGTATTCCAAAAGGTCATTTGGGTTCAAAATTGCCGCCATTTTATAAAAGTTGCAAGGGACGGCCATTTTGTGTTTCTAATGAGGCCACAGAGTGCATAGTTGTACTTAGATTCTGGATCATCTGTAAAATAACCTTGTTTCAAATTTTAATAATTATTTCATCATTAAAGATGGTGTCCCATTCAATTTTTAGTAAACTCGGGTTCAGGATTTGATTCAGATTAAATTATGCACAATTCTGCACTTGTGGCAACATGTCATTTCAAGAAGTCTTTATAAATATGTGTGATTGATAAATTGATATCAAAAGCATATTGAGTCGTCTTAACTTTAGAGCTATGGTAATGAAAAAGAATAAAAAAAAAAATTAGGAATGGTGGTGATTTTAAACTCCAGTGGTCAGGTCAAACAGTATTTCTGCAAATAATTCCAATAACTGTACTTCTACTTAATTTGGTGCTACTTATTTTGGTGGATTTGCCGTTTTTAACATTTTGATTTTTGAAAGTTAATTTTTAACTGGAAAATGTGGAAAATGCAGTGCAAATTCTCAGGAATTTAGCGACTTAATTTGGCAGACCCACCAAAGGACGATTCTCGGTTTGGAGAACGAAGTTCATCAATCTAAATGAGCATTATCCCTGCTTCGGACAAATTTGATTTTTTTACATAATATAGATTTGAATGTCCTCTTTTGAATAGTCATAATTTAATTTGGGTAATATTTCTTGATTTTTCGCAAAAAAAATATTAGCGCAGTACACTGATGAACTTCTTTCCCCAAATCGAGACTTGTATTTTATTGAATCGGTCTAATTGAGCGTTATCCCTGCTTCAGACCAATTTGTTATTTTTACATCTTGTAGAATTAAATGTCCTCTTTTGAATATTCATAGTTTAATTTGGGTAATATTTCTATATTTTTCATGAAAAAAATTATTAGCCCAGGAGACTGTTCTCCAAACAGAGAATCGTCCTTTAGTAGAAGCACAATATACCAAGCAAGGTCTTCCCTCTGACGCTCTCCCTCTTTATCATTATGATACTGAAAGAGCAATGCTGAAAAAAAAAGAATGCAATGTTAATGTTTTTTGCCCAATAAAACTGGTTTATCCCTTCCCAATATATCTTCACCAGGTCTTCTCATGAGCTGCCATTCTTCCACATATCTAATCAAATCTCAGAAACCTAAAATCAAAAGATTTTATCACAGTATCAGAATTGGTAGTTTTACATACATCTTTGAATCTGTTTTTTCATCACTTTTTTCAACTTTTTATCACTATCAAATCAACCTATATTTTATATTTATTTTGAGTTCAAAATGCAAAATATGAACACTTATCTATTATCTATGAATTTACCTTTTCTTTGGTTCCTGCTTTTTCAGCAAGTTTAGTTTCCTCTTTCTTGGTCGTTGATTCACTGTCTTTCACATCTTTTTTAGATTCAGGGCTACTGATAACAATCATTTTAGAGTCAGAACCTCCAACTTTAGGCGTGGCACTTCGAGACTGAGCAGGGGTAGTGCTTGCAGAGTCCACTACAGGTGAACTGGTTGCCAAACGAGAGTTCAAAGGTACATCCTCCTCAGACAATGATGCTGCGTTGTCCCCAGACTCCGTACTAGGGGTGGCTGCTCTAGAGGGGTTAGCACTTTTATCTGGTGTACCCTTAATGTCTTTGGTTACAGGTGATTTTGATTCTTCAGTTACTTCATTGTCACTAGATTTATGGTCCTTAGACTGTTCTGATGCATCAAGATTTTTAAAGTCACAACTTGAATCCCCATCACCCATATTATTACCATTTGTTAGATTTTTTGGTGGCGATTCATCTGTGTCCATGATCTCATCATGGCTATCACATTGACCTTTTTCAACATCATTATCAACATCATGTGCTTCACCTTCATCAGGCTTTGTTTCACCATTTGATCTCTCTAATCCATCCTCACAATCCATAAACTCATCAGAATCAGATTCTTTCTCAAGCGTAGGGGGTGATCTTTCAGATTCATTATCGTTATCAATCGATGAACATTTTTCTGAGTCAACTTTTTTCAAATTTGTGACACCATTTGGTAGCCCGATATCTGGATCTTTCATGTTGTCGGCTACATGATTGCCATTTGGCTTTTTAGTAGCTAGTTCATCATTAGAGGTCTCCATGTCTGCATTGTTGGAGTCCATCCTTGTACTACCATTCAATTTCATTGTAACAGCAAAGGCAATCAGATGGCATTCCTGAAATCATATGAACAATTGAATAAAAATATATCAGAATTTAATTTATATTTGACACCCGTGGCAACTCCTTATGAAACTGATAAGAGGTAACTAGTATCCAAGAATTTAATTTGTCCAGTGTTCAGTGGCCTCATGAGCTTTCAAGCAGACCAGCATGGTCTCCATTATCAGAGGTAGTCAAAATATCCGTACATAGTCAAGATGACTGATCATGTGCATCTGATGTGTAATGACTTGAGCGCATTCATTATTTTCTTATGTTATCCAGTGCCAAGACAATATGGTCCTGAGAAAAGTCCAACAGATTGGCTGTATGATCATAATATGGGAGAAAAATCCACACCATTTTTTCATATACTGAATTCCTGAGTTTTTAAGAATTAATTTGGATAAATCAGCAAAATGAGGAAATTTTGTTTTTATTAATAGTAATTTTAGCTTGTTTTTTTTAAAACTTATTTCAACCATCAAAATCCCTCCATCTTTTGGAACATCCTGGCTCTGATCTGCAGCACCAGACCTGGATATTATTACAGGATTCTAAAAGGATTCTTACGACTTCTAAAATCTATGGGCATCTTGAAAAGAGGTGATCTTTCTTGATAAAAATGGAAAGTTTCCTCGTTCTGCCAATTAACCTACAAGACTGGGGATTCAACTACATACACAGGAATTCATTGAGGCAGGTCATGTAAGTGTGCAAAGTGTGGATTTTTCTCCCATATTGTAATAAAATGGACAATCTAGGGCCGTGCCATTCGACCGGAATCGGTCCGAACCGCGGACTTTTGTTAAAATACCGGAATTCGGAATTTTAATATCATGTTCCGAAGGGTTTCGGAACAATATCGGACCCTTACCTTAGTACTTGCTTTGAATCGTTAATATCCGTGACCATTGTTCCTCCAGTGATGTTTTTTAAACAGTTTTTCAATTTCGTTGATTTCGTTTCAAAACTTTTTCAATTACGCATGCGCATTATGGTCAGAGCAGCCGGAAGTGAAAACAAGTAGAAAAAAGATCGAATTTTCTCTCTTTTTACAGATTTTAGAGTCTATTTCTTTCGTAAAAACATTCAAACTTGCTTGACAGGAAAGGTAAGTGTTAACCTGACAAACTTGGACGACGATATCGTCATGATCGCCGTCGAACTCACTCATACATAATTATTTTCATTTGTGAACCAAAAGGGGTTCCGAAAGTTCCGATTCCGTGAGACCAAGTTCCGGTTCCGATTCCGAACCGTCCGAACCGGTTCCGGCACAGCCCTAGGACAATCTATTGGGATGTTCTCAGGATCATAGTCCTGGTATGGGATAAAGTTATTCTTGAGACACCATATCTTGGTAATGAAATAAGCATGAAAAATGAGTAATTTGTAATTATTTGAGTAAAATACAGCTTTGTTCCAACTCATCTAAGGCCGTAAGTTATACCAAGTTTGGTCCCCTAGAGCAATATTTTCAGTAGGTTTGTCCAAGATTGCGTCCCTGGGATGTAATGATTTTCAAAATATGCGTCTCCCCTCAAAATACTGCATCACTTGAAAAAATGTTCCCGGGAATTCAAAGTCACGCTTTTACACTAACCGACATAAAATTGATGAAATTTTGTATCGCTTTTGCTATTTATCAGTCTAAATCAGTGTTCTGGCGAGTCTAGTATGTCATTGAATGATACAGATACCATCACCTCGACTTATATTCAACCATTAGAAACACATTTTCTTTGCGTATTTCGAAGCAATTAGCTATTGTAGCTACTGATTTTGCTTTAGTTTAGGGGCAATCTGCGCGAGGTTCAATGTTTTGGTTCAGTTTCTTGCGCATGCACATTCTTAAATAATGATCTTGGGATCGCACTTGACCAATAGAAAATGGTTTAAATCAGATCTTCAGCTAGCGGCCAATCGTAAGAATCGTACAGATTACTGCTCGGATATCGAGTATTGGATAACTATTTTTCCTATCACATGCCTCGTACTATTTCGATCAGAAATCAACTTCCGGGAAGGAAACTTCGAAAGAAAAATTTTATTTCTTTTAAAAATAGAATTTCCTTCAATTATTTAGTGGATTCACAAGTGATTTACGAAATTCAAATTGCGTACCAATTACGTAATTATTCTTTTAATTTACGTCCTCTCCATTGAAGGACGCCGTTAATGAAATCGCTGCTTAGAGGCACATAGTCACAGGATGTGTACCAGTTTAAGTGTGACAGTTGAATGTGCGGGGTAAGGTACAACACGAGGATGATGTGATTTAAACAAACTAATGTTCTCATCTTTTCAAAATGGTAACGGTAAGGAACAACACAAGAAATGTGAATTTGCGTTATAACCTATCTCAGGTAAATATACCCGTGCTGCCGTACGTTATACTGTATACTACATTGGGAGTTTGTGTAGGTATAACTATGAAATTCACTGTCTCGTTCATTGTCTAGGATGTTGTTACAGACATTTACAGATAAATATATCAAGAAACTAGACCCGATCTTTTTGAAAAGATGAAAACATCAGTTGCTCAAGTTTCATCACCCTTGTGTTGTACCTTACCCATGCGTTCAACCGTCATGCTTAATTTAGTCTGAGACTAAAATAAAACACACCCTGTGATGGTGCAACTTACAAAATGTTAGTCTATAAGCAGTTTGGAATATGTGTACAAAGGTCGCGCTATCATTTTGATATAGTTTTACATCTAGACTATCAGATTCACCTGAAAGTGAAAAAAAATTTAAATTCAAGAAGCATGCTTATATTTCTTCTATTACCAAGCGTTTTACGTGCCTAATGTAATATTAATACTTTGGTTGGGTAGACAGGCCAGGAAAGCATTTTACGCAAAATAGAAGCAGCTAGTGTGTTAGTTCAACGTCGTTAAACTCAATAACGGCGTTCTTTACTATTAGGAATTTTCTTGGGGCCGTTATTAAGTTTAACCTCTTTGCTATTCTTTCCTTGGATGCAAGTTCTGGATCCATCGAAACCATTTTGCTGCGATAACGTGCAATTGATACTTGACAATAATATAAAAACACATAACATCAAGCGATTTAACACAATATTATTGCGTTAAATGTTCATTTATACTCGTAAAATGAGGCTACACTTACAGATCTCTAAAATGACATTTCCGCATGTCCGTCATTGTGTCTGTTCGTCCGAATGTCCCGGATCGTAAAATTAAACTACTAGCGAAACGAAATTGTTGTCAAATAGATTGATAATCGATAAATCGCATTAAAAGATAAATTTTGAGGATAGCAGGTATCTTTGATTGATTTATATAGCGCGTGTATACACGCAAAATAGTTATTAATTGCAAACCTACTGTTTGTAAATGCAGTGCCGCGATGACGGTTAATTTCTGATACGATTTGCAATTTCGATGTTACCGAAACTGACCGACATTTTCGTTATATTCCAAATCTGTCTCCAATATTTCCATAATTATGCATCAATAGGGTCTAAAGGGGATACGGGATGGTGTGTATGTATTCATAAGGTATGTATGCATGCTTGAATCACATTCTTTGTGTAATATGACCATGGTTTCAGGGTTTAATTAGTTCCGCTTGTCGAAACCTGCTGAACGATTAAATTAACGCATCAAGGGCAAAATGATCATGGACGTTAGACCTAGCCGGGGCCATAAGACATGTCAGATAAGAAACGAGGCCCAGGCTAGGTCTAATGTTGTTGGACTACTAGTGTGTATGACCCTTGTATGCAAGAAAATAAAAAATAAACATCCGAATAAGAATAATAACAACAAATAACAGCATACGACGTCCGGATTTATATGACGACCAAAAACATTCATCCGAAGGAAAAAAAAATGTGGCTATTCAACGTTTACAAGACTTTAAGTCTCGGAACGAGATAATATGATAATGACTGATTAGATAGACACTAGCCTAGGCCTGTCCTAAGCTTTCTAAACAGAAACATGGGGTGATTTTGTTACTGTGGGTTGGGTTGTAAATCAAATGATCAAACAAAACGAGTAAAAAATTGGACAAGGCAGAAAGTATCATATAGAAAATTCATCTACAAATGGGCTTTACATGTACAAACTCAGAATGATAACTGGCAAATGGCAGCGATCATTGATAATTCGATAGGTCAAATCAACACTCCCGCCATTTTTTACAAATAATTTTTGAAAATCACGTGTGAAAAATGTAAAAGAAATTGAAAATATAGCTTTGGACACATGTTCAAGCATACTTAATCCAACTCACCTATACTACAATATCCACTGTTGATATGGACGGCATGAATCAGTCACTTTCATGGAGGACAGACCACAACGGAGGAGAGATTCCTTGTTCTGTCGACCGGTGGCGCACAGAACAACACCAATATGGCGGCTTCGTGTCACGTGACTACAAAATTTCTGACGTCATGTAATAAATATTCCATAGCTTTACGCAAAATGAACCAATCACATTACAGCACACCAGACATCACGTGAAAAGAATTATCATAAATATCTCGTTTGGAAACTTGCCAAGATACCTTAATTTGCATATTTTGTGAATTATTCGGTCTTTTTGGCCCAAAACTGAACAACTAGGACAAGGGTATGTACAAAAAGGCTCTTGAAACATAATTTAAATCAATTTCATCAGAATTATTGGATAAATAAAGGATTTAAAAATTTATATTATTCACCTTATTTGCATATTTCCCGAAAATTCTCAAAAAGCAAGACAACCTTTTTATGAGAAAATATTATAAATATAACGTTATAAATAGCCGAATGCTTATTTGATCAAAACAGTTACAAATCTTCAATAGTTTGAGATTTCATTTGGTCTATTTTGGCCTAATTTGCATAAAGTGATCATGATCACCGAATATAACATTTGACATTTGAATTTGAACTGACAGCAAGCCTGGAATTGTGCAAAGCATTCTTAGAACGAATAAGTACAATTGTGATGATCTTTATTGGCCGGATCAGGCCCATGGCCAGAAAAACGAAATAGGCTAAAGGCAGTACTGTATGTTATGTTTGACGTTTGTCAGTGAAATATATGTACCGATCCAAGGACCGGGGAGAGTAATAGCCCATCAAGCCAGATACGGGACACCGGCCAAAAGCGAGTGCCGAGCTAAACTTCAATCATACCCAGATCCCGTGCAGGAATCCGAACCCAGTCAGAAGCTTAAGCCACCGTTATAGATGAGACTGTTGTAGCAACTTGTAGAGAAGATTCAAAACTCAGATTAACACCGAGATTTATTAAAGGGGCAACAAGGACTGTTGAGAGAAAATTCGCCGAATGAGTCCCACTTATAGATTTTTAAGATTCTCCACATTTCAAGAGGAATATCAGCTGAAATAATGTTCATCCAGGGAGTTTCTTTGGAGATAATAAAATTATATGTTGGTCTTGATGAAATATCGAAACTTGAATATATTTTGACACTGGTCGATGATAGTTGCACTAATTGTTGCACCTTTAAGACTAAAGCCATATCACATTGTCCAGTTATAGGCCTCTTTTGCTATTTGTTATTACGCTTTTATGTTATGGGGGGCCCCCTGTTATGGATAAAGTATGAGTATTGGGTTTAAGGAGGAATATAGTATGAACGGTTTATCTAACTTAAACGGACACAAACTCTAATGAAAGGTAAATGGCCCATGATCCAATTTTAGGAAATTGAATTTCTTTTCTATTGACTATGAGGTTAGTGTATGAGAACTGAGTGGGTGTAATTTTTTAGTTCAACTTCAGTGCACTGCATGTAACAGGCCATTTCGAGTTAAAAATTTGATTTCTTTTGTGTTTACTATTGAATGCGTGTATAGGGTGTAATACGATCAGCTTTCGTGCACGGTGTGTGATAGTCAAACGGCTTTTGTGCAACACTGATTTTGGATAGCTTGCCACACCCTATGTATAGTCTGTCACGTGACTTTATGGGTGACGGATGGGCGAAAGAATCGCTAGCACTTGGCATTCAGGTTTGTAATACTCTTACATGAAGCTTACATATGGTGTCAATTCTTTAAAAAACAATAGAAAAATATACACTTCTTTGTTACAACAACTCATTGTAGGCTTATATCCTTTAAACAAGCATAAATTAAAAGAGTGGCTCTCGGATAAATCAGAATTGAAATTCTGTGTAAAGACATTGTATTTATAAACGCCAAAACCCATCATGTAATATCTAAGGCTGCTGTTTATCAACTTTTGTTCCCGCGATCGCTGACTCGGCGATGTGTATCCTTAGATTTGAACTAAGGCTCCGATACGTCCTTCTAGTAATGCAAAATGCTGTGCACTAATTTAGACACCATCTCGATGCAAAGGAGGACAATAGCCAAAATAGACATCTATACTCCTAGGCCTATCACACCTCAGTGTTCGTAACAGTCTCAGAAAGTGTGGAGTTTTGGAATATTATACCTATTATTCCATACCATTTACTTAAGTAATGTGTACATATTCTGTTGTTCTCTTTATTTTTATTAGAAACGTATAGTGACAAAGCTCTTGATGACATTTTTACAAGTTGGACAAACCAGTGGTACATCTTCAAGATAAAGGCATTATGGACATAAGTCTGATAAGTCATAGCCAGTAGTTGTGGCCACATTTTGGAACCACCAATTTTTTTACGCTCTGTCTGCAAATTTTGGAATTTTCTTTCGTCTGGATTTCTCTTACATGCGCCTTCAGTTTCTGGAATTCCTCTATGTTGGCCATCGCCCTGAATATAAGCATTTATAGCGCAGGTATGAATTGTAAAAATAAATAAATAAACCTTTTGACAAATGATATCGCGGCATACCCCTCAGGCCCATAGCCAGGTTGTTTGACCCCCCACCCTCCGGCAATAAAAATCTCCCAAATTCATGCAGTTTTCACCATTTTGAACATTTTCAAGTGGTTCCGGGCAAAAGTTATCAAATGGGAACTCCCCTGGTATATATGTCTTGAAAAGTGACCCCCTTGGCAAAAGCTGGCTATGGGCCTGCCCTTACTTACTTCACGATGAGACAAAATGTCATCGGTCATTCACAATTTTATTAACATAATTGAAAATAATATGATCTCAGAGATCGGACCGTACATACGCATTATTATTAACTGAACAAAGCAAACAAATAAACTATTAGATAAGTGATTAGTCTGCCTTTTTAATATTGACCAATCCGTCATGGCGGCGGCGATAAAACGTTCAAAATATAAATAGATATATGACATGAAGATGTTAGTTTTGTATAGGCGTTTGTAGGCCTATTATTCTGACAATATATTAAAAAAATAATTGTGACTCAAGTCAATAACAAGGGATGGCATCGCTTAACGTCTAGAGCAAGTCATGTATTCAGCACCATTTTAACAGAACATGTGATATGCTTTTTCGTTTTGAAGGGTGTTTGTATTATTTTCAAAAATGGTCACTGGCTTTAAATAACAATAGACCTTATAACAGAAGAAACCTCAACATTTTTCTGAAATTATTTTGATTGTATGACTATTCCTCGAAAATACCAACTTTAAATTTCGTCCGACCAAAAAGTGGAAACTTGTACATCTGACATGAGATGAGCCCTGCAGGCCCGTAGCCAGGGGGGGTTCGCAGGGTTCGGGCGAACCCCCCCCCCCTGGCCAAGAATTCTTTTAAAATCATGCAGTTTTTGACCATTTTGAGCACTTCTCAAGTGATTTTAGCCTAATTTGGGCCAAAATTGTCAAATGTGAACCCCCCCCTGGAAATTTTTGAAAATCGAACCCCCCCTTGGCAAATCCTGGCTACGGGCCTGCCCTGTATACGTAAAGCCTCAAAGAATAAGGATGCTTTGTTGTTTTCGCTACTGGCACATATTATACACCTATTCTTAATTTGTCAGATTGGTGCTTTGTAATCAAACTGCATAATAACTAATTAGTTAAATAATATATCAAATTATAAGTTGAAAGCAGAATACCTATAAATTAAGGCAGAAAATTATGGAGACAAACCTGCCCTTAATTCAACTTCATATATGAATTCTGTGGTTAGTTGTTGCTGACTAGAGCCCTGCACTCTTAAAAATGAATTACTTGAGTATTTTCCAAGTATAAAAATTACTTAAAGTTAAATACTTAGTTTTACTTCATTTTACTTAGGTTTAACTTATATTGTCATTTTGAGTTTTTTAATTGCTTAATTATGTAAATGAGTATTACAATTACTACAGTAAGTATTTCAATTTCTCTCCTTGCATTAGTAAATTCACCATAAATGAATTACTTAAAAATTACTTAAAAATTATTCAGTAGTTCAAGATTATTTAAGTAATTTTTGACTTAAAATGAGTAGTACAATTTCTCAATATAAGGAAATCCAAGTAATAATTTTTAAGAGTGTGTATCAGGGAGTGACTGCGAAGACGGTTTGAAATTGTGGCGGTTCCCTTAAAACCGCTCACAAAATTAAAAATGTAGTTTTGAAAAACATTGGATATGTAGAATGTTCATTAACTTTTCAACTTGTTGGATTTACGATTTCTCATTTTGAACTCTCAAATGATTCTTCTTAACTATGTCAATAACTTCAGATAAAGGGGAAAGGTGTTTAAATGTAATAAAGATGAAAACCACATATCTCAAGAAATTTTCCATTGTAATTTTTGGTTGCCTTAGTTTGATAACTTCAGAATATATAAGACCTTTGGCACTATTCCACCTTGAGGTTTTAGATTTCTTGTTTTACAACCTGTGTAGTAAAAATGAACAACTGTCAATGATATCCTCTTTTTAGAAAATAAGTCGAACATTTCAAAAAAGTGTCAATTGGGTGCTAATCCATGGTCCACCGGAGAGTCAGTTTGAAACTTTTATCATTCTGAGGACTTAACTAGAAGTAGAGGTCGTAACGGTACTGAAAACCAGTACCGGTAACCGTCACGCTAATAACCGTACCGTTACCGAAATACCGGTAAAATATGTAAGATGAAATGCCAATGCGCTGCCACCCCTACTTTGTTCCTAACTCTCTTCGTAGCTTCTCAAGTCTATATGCATACATGGTGCAAGACCGATTTGAACCCATACAGATGAACTTCACGAAATAGTATGTAACTATCTTACGAATCAAGATGTATTTTTAGTTTTAAATTAAATGTATTATACATTTCAAACCATTTCTCAACTGTATCAATAGCAAGCGACGTGCAGTATACATGGGGGTGGGGTAGGTAAAATAGATTTTATTGACTGTCTTGAGTTCTGGAAAGTAAACGGAGGAAAATAGCCTGATGTGGCGAGTTTGGCTGAAACATATCATGCTATTCCTGCGTCATCCGTGTCAAGTGAACGCCAGTTCAGTGCAGCTGGCAACACCATCACTTCCAAACGGGCACGACTTCAACCTGAGGTTGTCAATGGCTTGTTGTTCGTAAATGACTATTACAAACATAATTCAGTTTCTGGATCTGACGTTGACACTACAACTTCACCGGAACTGCCAAACATAACTACAACCAAATCTGAGCCTGAGCATGAAGTTACTACACCCGAACTGCCAAACATGGAAATCACATCTGAACTGCCAAACATGGACATCTTAATGTCTATGTAAATGTTCGCATCGTGAAAGTGGAAATTAAACGAAATAATTGAAAAAAAAACGATGTGTCTTTTATTTCCCCGGGATTATCGTCGGTTAACCGGTTAATAATTTCAATACCGGTAAATGCTCAATTCCGTACCGAAACGGTATAATCGAAATAACCGTCAGCCTCTAACTAGAAGGAAAACATGTTTTAATAGAAAATGTCATGTAATTTATGGTCAGAAAGTAGACATGTTCAAGGTTATGATTGCATTTAACTATGTATCATGCCATTCATGGTTGTTTTCATCCAATATAGGGATACCACTGCTTCTTCATACTTTCAAATACAAAAACTTACACATTTCCATTTTCTATTTATTATCAGTTTCACTACTTCTTTGTTACTTTCAATACACCATTTTTTTGTAATTTACAAAGCGTTTTTCACAGTATTTGATTAATCTGGGGATGAAATTAGTTTATCGAAATTAATAAAGGATATACATTATGCACCAAAATTTATATGCCCATTTTAACACAAGCTCTAGGTTTAGGCTAACATATCAATAAATGTGTCCATTATTCCATTCTAATTGATAGGTTTAAGGATAAATAGTTTGGAAGGTACAGAATTTTGTCAAATATAGATCAAGAGTAGAGACGTATAGTTGAGTCAGCTCCACTTGTGAATATCCAAGGCTGGGTAGGGTGAAAGGTACAGTCTAATACTCCACAATTTTGACAAATATAGATCAAGTGTAAAGACGTATAGTTGAGTCAGCTCCACTTGTGAATATCCAAGGCTGGGTAGGGTGAAAGGTACAGTCTAATACTCCACAATTTTGACAAATATAGATCAAGTGTAGAGACGTATAGTTGAGTCAGCTCCACTTGTGAATATCTAAGGATGGGTAGGGTGAAAGGTACAGTCTAATACTCCACAATTTTGACAAATATAGATCAAGTGTAGAGACGTATAGTTGAGTCAGCCCCACTCGAGAATATCCAAGGCTGGGTAGGGTGAAAGGTACAGTCTAATACTCCACAATTTTGTCAAATATAGATCAAGTGTAGAGACGTATAGTTGAGTCAGCTCCACTCGAAAATATCCAAGGCTGGGTTGGGTGGAAAGTACAGTCTAATACTCCAAGATTATTTGTGAGTGAATGTCCACGTAGAATCTTCACAGGAACTATTAGCGGGTTTTGTAGCATATCACTGAAAGAGATAAAGTTATAGTTTACAATTTACTCATAGAATTTCCGAATCTTCTCTCGTATACTTTCTAACCATTTAAATTCAAACCCACACATTTTCATGAAAAGTTGGTGTCTCCAATACATAATCGCTCAATGCATATAGAATAAGTTATCTTAATAAACACTTGACTCATTTAGTATGCATTTTTTAATTTTCAATTGTTCAATCCATATAGATTAAGTTCTAAAGTTCAATGCATAAATCAAATGTACAGACGTCAATATATTTATTTTCATTGTAACTAATTTGTCGCACTCATGCACATGTGCATTACTCACCTGTAGACCATACCATGGCAGACAATGATGGAACCATCATCAGCAGCTGAGGCAAACAATGGGTATGTCCTGTGGAAGCGTACCTGTCGTATTGCCTTCTTGTGATGCCTACAAAGAGATATGATATGCAATAATTCAGCCTTTTGCTGGCATTGGATATACGAGGGTATATCATAAAGTTCTCATAATATCTCTCTAATTTTTTTATTTTTCAATATATTCTGATGAATGTTTCACAGAGTGTGTAGTATAGAATGCTGTATTAATCTATGAAAAAATATTTTGTATAACAGGAATATTATTAAGAAATGGTTGCCATAGTAACCTGAAATCAAGGCACCCAGGGCAAATAAAAAATTGTGCAAGAATAGCCCCAACTAACCATGTTTAAATGCATAATAAGTTATCAAATAAGCTATGAAAACACATCAAATTGTTAAATGCCATGTGTTCTTGACTGTTTTGAACAATTATAATGGTCAAGTGAATTGTGTGATCTCATAATGGAGGATTGTAATGCTTCATTAGAAGTGTTGTTAGGTACTACAACTGTTTTGTCAAATATTCCGAGGAAAGTCGATTTTCCCCCTTTAGTTTATCTTAAATACCCGGTATGTTTAGACCACAAATAGGGGGTAATTTTGTTGATATCTTTGCAACATATTTGTTTTAGATAATCTATAGTATGATCAAAGGACTTTTCGAACTTAACCAAACTTTTTTTCAGTATGAATTTTATTTTTCTGATGATCTCTGCATCTATGCATTATCTTTGTCTGTCATTTCTGATCATTAAGCTTTGATTCTCAGAGTCTGGTATCACATCTAATGAAGCATGTAAGCATCCCCTAAGACATCACATAATTCACACGATCAATTTATTTTATAGTAAAAGCATTTAACAACATATTTAACATAACATTTTAATGTGTTTGATAATTTATGAGAGTTTATTATGTATGTAAACATGGTTAATTAAGCTCATTTTCTCAATTATTTTTATTTGCCCCGGGTGCCTTGATTTCCGGTTACTATGGCAACCATTACTTATTAAATTTTTCTGTTATACCAAATATTTTTTGATAGATTAATACAGTGTTTTATACTGCAGATTTCATGAAACTTTCATTAGAATATATTGAAAAATAAAAAAATTAGAGAGATATTATGAGAACTTTATGATATACCCTCGTATGTGGGAAAAGTCCTACAACAGCAGGTTGAAAACATATATATGTACACTTAAATAGTATACAAAATGGGTAATTTGTGAAAAACAGTTGGCATACTTTACTACGCTCGCAGGTAACTTTTGTGAAATTTACATAAGGCTTGAAGAAGCTGAAAGAATTTTCCCAGGTTCAAATATGCCATCAACATGAAGTGGTAGACATGGTATATTACATGACGTGTAAAATGATCAAGTTCTTACAAATCCACATGGAGGAATTATATTGTTTGGTAGGGTTTACAACAAGAGAGTTTACCTGAGTGTTTGGTATGGTTTACTAGACAGGTCAAGGTCGAACCAACTTAGCTTGCAGTCATAGCTTCCTATCAGTAGGTTATCACCTAAAATAGAACATATACACAAAATAACAACTTTTTCTATAATTAGCAATGCATTTTTTCATTTATTCAACATGCAAGTTATAAGCATTTCTGTATTCACTTCCTCTGTTTTATCAAGGCACACATTGAGATGGACAGTAGATCCCATCTGATAGCATATATATAGCAATGGATTTATGCTCATCTATTAAATAGTCTAACAGATATACCTCCAGGATGTATAGCAAGACTAGAGACCCATTTACAGTTGGAAAACAACTTCTTCAATAGCTCTTGTTTCACCAGGTTGTATACACGGATATATCTTTGTGTCTGAAAAACAAAAATATAATTTTATGGCAGGATTTTTTGATGAAACATAACACATGGATTTCTTGGATTTCTCTAACAATATTTGAACAATTTTATTTTATGTTAATAAAATAGCAACATACTTTATGAGCAATGAACATATTTCGGTAAGTTCCTTTTAAAATAATCTATCATAGTGAGTGTAATCAATGCAGAAATATGATTTTGAAAACTGCTTATAGGTATGGTACCCATCGGCCTCATTCTAGTTTTTGTGCCATGCGCTACATTTAGATACAACATGCATGAAGACTTTCATGCAGACACAAGAACGTCATCAAATTATCAATGATACCTCCTATAATTTTGATTGCTTTTACTGGTTCGCTATAAAAAGTAGCTGCATTTCATTCATATTCAATTCACATGTATGACCCTGTATTGATTAATTTAAGTATTGATAGATTAATTGTAACATGGATGTAATTGTTAAAGTTAAGTACAAAACAAGATTCTAATCCGCCAATAACTTACTGCAACATAAAAGAAAGGTTTTGTGGGATGGAAGGTCACACACTGTACCAGTCCTTTAGATTTGCTGAATGGAATCTGAAATGTATGAGCAACACACATGTTAACACATGGTCCTTGGATCCATGCAACTGTTAAGTAAGGTGTACAAGTTAAAATTATAAATTATTTTAATTTGATACCTGATCTAAAATTGGCAATAAATCACTAATTCAAATCCTCCACAATTAGCCAGTGTTTACCAAAGTTATCTTATGGTATCTTGATACATTTTGTCAAACCTCCTCCGAATCAAAGAACCATCAATGAGAATGGTAAAGCCAAATTAAATACTGCTAAATTAAACCACTTTATAGTATCCTACTATTACACTATTTCAAGAGACATTGTTTACTTTACCTGTGATCTGCGTCTAGACAGCTGGTGTATGAATACAGATTGTGAATCTCCCTGTGGAACAACAGTGGAAAAGTAGTCCCCTTTACCATGCCACGTCACCTGACTACACTCCTATGGTAATATATTAAGTAATTTCATATCATTTGATTAAGACAAAAATAAGCAGCACAAAATTATACTAATGGCATACAATACTTAGTTTTCCCTACTACTGATACTGAAACTTATTAGTTTTTAAACAAGGTAAATGATCTTTAAGGCTATATCATTTCATAACATTTGGAGTAGCATGTTAGGAAAAGGGATGCCTATGGGGCCAACAGACCCCTCTCTCTTATGAATATTCAGATAATCTAGTGATTTCAAATCAATTTTTATGAGAAGATATAATTTAGAGCGACACATTCCCCAGATGCAACATCAACTTTGAAGGAAAGAACAGTGTGGATGATGTCTGGAGTCCTGCATTTGGAGGATGAATGGAAACAGTTGTTGAGTACAAGCTCTTTACCTTCTGATGCGTCACCTGTAGTCTGAATCCAATATCAAACTGCTCATCTTCATATGCACTCCAACTAACAGATGACTTCTTGCCTGAAATAAATATACCAGTTTTAGTATTATTTTCTTCTTGCCTGAAATAATTATACCAGTTTTAGTATTATTTTTATCTAGTTTAGTCTAGGGAATATGGTATTGTAGGAGATATATCTAAATCAACATATTAAAGGATCACAATATCTAATTGTGAATTTAATATGTTGCAATTAACTGATTAAGTAGTTTCATCTTTTTATTACTAGTTTTTCCTAATAACTTTTCACAATCTTTTAAATAATAGTACGAACATCAAAATACAAGTTCATTAATCAGGCTTACAGAGAAAGGTATCCATCTATTTATCTATATAATTTTATCCAAACAATAGCAAATGAGTTACATTCACAACAAACTGGATAAAAAACTGTTTATCATATGTCAATATAGTCTATACATGTAATTCTAATTAACTGAACTATCTTACTTGTTGTTGTATCATCAGGCCTGAATGCTGCTAACATGTTATCTGTATTGGTTGAGATTAGTTTATCTCCTACATGTGGATTAAGCAGGATAACTGACTTTTCCCTGTAATAGAATGGTCAACATTCAGATAGTAACACATGATTCAGTTCCAATTATAAAACACTTTTCCAAATTAATGATGATAAAAAAATGTTCGCTATACATTTTAGTGAATTTCACATCCATTTAGACTAACTTGCATGTGACAGAATATAACCATGATTAATTATAATATGATCATGAAATATGAAGAAATTGATAGTTCTGCCATTATAACTTATAAATAATATAAAAACAATACAAACTCCTAGAACCACAAAAAATAAATAATAAAAAACTGGAGAGGTTTTCGAAGCTTCTCTTAAAAATGTGGATGAATCATATATCTGATTATCTTTTGTGCAAATGTTATGTGTCAAAACTCCATATTTAGATTTGATTACTATGGTAACACTCAGATTGGCTCTACAGTGTACTGTGGCAGTCTTATAAGTTCTATAGAGAGCATATTGCCATATCCAAAGATTGAAATATTTTCCAAAATGTATCGCAATGCGCTATCAATACTCACAAAACAGCAGCTAGGAGGCAGAAGGAACCATTGGGATTCCATGCTATACTCTTCACAATATGTTCAGTTTTGTATGTTTTCATACATCGCCCCGTGGACACCTCCCAGATCTTGATACTCTTGTCATCACATCCTGCAAACAATAATACAGCACACCTTCATGTAAGTGAAACACATATTTATTTAGGTGGGCAGAGGAGTATGGGTAAACTGGCCAATTCAATCGATCACTTTGGATTTTTTGCAGATTAGGCTGGTAAAAGATCTAAAATTAGCCTTCAGAATAAGGGGATTTAAAATCATATTTTAAGGGATCTTTGTGTAACACATGTGTTCTATTTCAACAAGCCCCTGTAATTATGCAATTGAAATCAATAATGAAAAAGCAATATCCACACAATTAAGTTTCATTGTGAGGTAAAATACATTTATATACATTAATACATAATACATACATATGCATTAATGTCATTTGAATCTCAATCTAATGACAACACAAACACAATGGAGATATACCATGTATAAATTATGTTATCAGGGATAAAAACATTAACAAGGAACACGCTGCTTCCTTTGCAAGGTCCTATCAGTGAAAGGGTTGCATTACAACATTAACCTTATTATAACCAAGTATACCTTAGTTTATAGGTATATGCACATCCTAATGTTTACACTCATACCATTCACAATTACATGTATGTGGTTTTTTAATTCATTTTAAGAAACACAATAATTATTTGCAAAATCAAACCCTGCTACTGCCTTAAATTGTACTTGAGGTGGGTTGATCAAGCTACACGTTTTTAAATGAACTCGTGCATGAATATGTCATATAATGAACCTCAGGGATTTTTTTTACAGGGACCCAATTCCAAGTATTTTCCAATTACTAGGAAAGACATAACTGATCCATAGATGGCCAATATTTCCACACAATCCCATACCAGTTCTCTTAAAAACAAGTAGCCTTACCTGCCTTCGGATTTACAAAAAACATGAGGAATGACAAATGGTTGACATTTTTATTTCTAACTTATAATCCAACATGCAATACAATGCAACACAAAAAGATGGGTTAATGGAAGTCAAATCCATTCCACAGTTCAGTTGTGTGATTCATAGTACTAATTCAAACTTATCCCGAGATTTGATATAGAAAACTCTAAATCAACTTTAGAAGACTTTCTAAACAAGAAAAGTATGTAATATTCATCATGGCACATTAATAATACATTTGAAAAAGTTTAAAAATACTGGTAATCAAATCTAAGTATTCAATAGACTACACTGCATTATTCAGCAAAATATTCCATATTGGTTGTATTTGATGGTAATTTTGCCTCAATCGTTATGTGGTTTAAACTGTCCTAGGATGTGACATTCATTCATGAGGATGACTTGGTGGTTCCATAGTCTGATTTACAGGGCAGCTACTGAATAATTCTCTTCTCTTGAAGTTTTCTCGTTTGTTTTTCTGAAATGAAAAGAGATTACAAATTACGCAAACCACTTATTACATACCAAAATATATGATTTGCTTCAAGAATATGAGTGGGGACTCTATTATGCCTAAATAAGAAAGGACAAACCCAACATTAATGAGAAATGTTAATCTTGTACTCTTGCTAATGCATGCTTCGGGTTTAAAATTAATCCATCTGGTTTTATTTACAAAATGTATGTACCTTTTTGGTACTTGACACAACCGCATGCATCTTTTCCATGTGTACTGTAAGGGGATATCGTTGGGTGAATGAGATTTTGCACTCTTCACATTTGAATGCTCTGACACCATCATGAACATTTTCATGCCTCTTCAATGATGACTTCTGTGTAAATGTCTTATCACAGCGATTGCACTTGTATTTTCTTTCACCTGAAATGAATGAAATAATTTAGGAACAGAGCAAAAATTACAATTTTTAGATAAATATTTTGCTGTAGTTTTGATACACTGTGCATTTGGGAGCTGTCAAGTTGGCTGAGCTCCTTGCATTTATTCATTAATGTAAATATTCTACTCAATCTGTACCTACCACTATGTACAACTTGGTGTCTGGTAAGGGACATTGGGTTCTGGAAGGAAGCGTCACATAGTTGACACTGGTATTTCCTCTCACTATGGAAGGTCATATGATTTGCCAAAGCATTGATGGTTTTGAACTTATCTCCACATACATCACAACTGTGTGGCCTCTCCGTTGTGTGTACACTCATGTGTATCTTTAACTCTACAATCATTAAACAAATAGAAGAGTTTATAAGGTTATAATTCAAGTCATGGGCTTTCATCCCATTTGAAAGCCCAAGGTCCAGTATATATTGATTTATGATTGGTACTCCAAAAAATCCAATAATATGAATAAATCCATAAATACCCAATGAGTTTTTATGAGCAAAAACGGTAGTAACCATGGACTTAGTCTCCAATACCCCCTTCCCCTCCCACATTCTCCTACTTGTATTTAAAGGTGTAAGGCATTGTAAAAAGGGGAAATTGAAGGCTTTAAGCATGACTAAATGGATACTTTTTTTGAAATGATGGTAAAGGGCAACATATTATATAAACAAAACACTCTAAAATCTTCTAAAGTATCATTACCACTAAACAAAGTGGCAAATATGTCAAACAAATATTTTCACATACATGGAAAAATAATGCAACTCAACTTACTATATTTTTCGACGAACTGCTTATCACATAAGCTACAGCTATATCTGTAGTCCTTCTCATGTTGTTGGATGTGACGTTTGTATTTATCTGCCTGTCGTCTCCCTAGATTAGCGGGAAACATGACCCCACAGTAGAAACATAGCTTGTCTTTGCGTGGCTTACATCCTGCCTTCTCTTGCCTCATACAAACAAGCATATGGTCCCTGAGGTTACACCATGATGAAAAGTCTTGATCACATGCCACACATTTGAAGCAGGTTAGTCTATGTTTGTCAGCTAATGGCACCGAGTCAAATTCTTGATTACACATTGGGCATATCAGGGACTTGTTTGACCCATTAAAACAAACTACAGCATGTCTCTTAAACTCTTTCTGTGACATGGTGTCATGACATATAGGACATTGGTGTGATTTAAAACACCAGTTTTTGTGATAAATATAGTCAGATCTTATAACAAAACCAACTGAACACCCAGGACATGTGTACGCTGGATGGCTAAGTTTGCTACATTCCTGTACATGCTTTGCTAAATCCTCCTTATTATCAGTTTCAAACATGTAACAATTTCGACAAATATCTTCGTTTTCAGAGCAATATTTTTCATGGTATTTTACAGATTTGATACTTTTATAGTTCCCATGGTTACAAAATCTGCAATGTGAACCAAGAAACGAGGCATTTTTTATCGTTGGTCTTAGCTTTTTCTGATCCAATGTGTTTTTAGTAAGCTTCTTAACTTCATTCAACATGGCTCCATGCATATGATGCCTGAATTGTAATACAGACTCAAATGTTCTGTAGCATATTGTACATTTTAACACTTCATTTTGATTAGCGTCAAGAACCTCCCATACTGAATATTTGGCAATAATATCACTTTCTGATTGAAGAAGAGATTTAGGTTGTTTTGCCGTCTTAACAATAGTGGTTGGTTTCTCCCTCTTTTGGTTATTCATTTCTCCAAATTGACAATCATTATTGTAATCTGATTTTTTATTTTTATCAATTGATGCTTCCTGTTTGGTAATTTTGTTTTTAATCTTCTTTGCTTTCTTCACTTTCAAATCTGGCACTTCAACCTTTCTTTTCCTACCCTTAATTTGAGGAGACAGTGTTTTTTGAGGTGAAACTGCAATATTGTTTTTATTTGATTGTCTGTTCTTCTTTATATTCTCGACTTTAGAAGGAAGATTCCCTTTTAGTAAATGCTGGTTCACATAAGAGGAGTCCAACTTTGTTTTGGGTTTCTTTGAAAAGTTCATGTTTACTTTCATTCTTTTGATTTTTAATGTAGTTTGTGGTATTTTACTTTCAGTTATGTGCTCTTCCTGTGATCTATTCGTTGTTTCCCTCATGGCTTCATGGGCATGGAGCTTCATATGGGATTCAAGGTGGGAACTCTTGGTGAATGTTGTATTACAGATCTGACAAGTATGTAGTCCTTTACCAAAATCATCCATGTCTAAAGTCAAATCCTTCAACTGCATGGCTTCTGGACACCTGAAGACAATGATCAAACATAATCAGTGTTACATAACAGGAATGGTGCATTTTTAGAAATGCTCGATTTCTAGTTTTAAATAAAATGTCACTATAGATAATGTGGTACTGACTGAACCATACAACAAAAGTAAAATGTCTGTTAAGCCCAATGAAGAAGTTATTTGTTATAGGTCAAAGTTGGCTGACTTTTAAGTAACAGGGATGATGGATATCAAAACCATGCACAATGTGTTATAATATAGATGCTTCTATGTACAGAAATGCATATATTACTTGTATATACCTCTTAGGACCTTTATCCTTGAATGAAACGCTTTCAATAGATGCTTGGTCACCTGGTATGGAACATGTGTACTCATCTTTGATGTCAAGTGTTGATGTATCACCCTGTTTTGCAAGAATTCTGTCATCTATTGCTACATTTTCTTCAGGTTCTTTCTTTATGTCAAGAATAGTGCCCACCTCTTTCTCTCCAGATTCAACTGATACGAGACTGTAAGAAGTAGTCACTTGGTCGGTATTTCCTCTGTGTTTTTGATCATCTTGCCCTTTAGGCTTTTTCATGGAGAGATCAAGTGGAATATCACCATGAACATCAGTGGTGTTGACCTCATCAAAGGATCTGTTGTTGAGCATAAAATCGGACTTTTCAAAACATTTTAATGATGCTGCATTGAGATGTACCATTCTCTCTGGTTGATCCATAAGATGATGCTGTTTGGCTGCCATATTGTTATGCTTTGTCTACCTGCAATATTGAAAATATCATATTAATAGGAAATGGAAAGTGTTGTTTTGAACTTCCCTAAAATCAAACCACTTAATGCATCTGTATCGTCTTCCTCATTGGTATCAAGAGTCAAGTCATGCAAGCGAAACTTGTATATTTAATTGTAAAAAGTGCTTAGACCAACTTTTGGTATATTAGTATAAGGTATATAAGATATACACTGTGCTATTAATGTACTGAATATATCAATTCACTTGGTTTGTTTTATTTTCAAAATATGATGCCACCTTGATGACATTAAGGTATGCATGAGTATTAAATCAGAGTTTAAACAATGCATCTTATCTTTCCAATAAGCTGATATAATAGTGTATTTTACAATTTTTTTAGGGGGAGTATTTGAATTTCATGAAATAATGAAATATTGACTTCTTATTTTTGAAAGTCTAAATCAACTTTAAATGATAACAAAATACAAAGGAAAAGTTTTTCAAACTTTAGATGGGGCCTTTAACCATTATTATGAGCATGATGAACGTCATAACCATGGCATAATGAACACATTCTAAAAGATAACACGATGGAGTACTTTTTATCTAATTATGCAGATATCAAAATAGAACTTCAAAATAATAGTAAAATAACGTCATTTCAAAGGGCAATATAGTGAAATATTGGATCAAGGGCCGCAGGCCCAAGGTCCAATATTTCACTATTTTGCCTGCAGAAATGACGTTATTACTATTATTACCACCGTTAATGCCCAGGGCTGAAATAGCAAATTTGAAATAGAAAATCTTACGCACTGAACGATATCACTTTTCCCGGGAAACATAGCCGGGCGGATTATGTCATTATTGCCCAACTAAAGTCATTAACGCCCGACACAATATTGCTCACGTCAATATAGCAATTTAAATGCCTTTTCAACTAGAACTAAAACCCCTAGAACAGGCCCTGCAAGGTGGTAATAATGTTGATTTATCACTGCTTCATTTTCCCTCTTTCAACAGAGGGATAAATTTATCATTAAATTCATGAATTCTATTGATAAAACTTTGGCCTCATATAAAATTCATTCATGTATTGTAACATTTTTAAGTAGTAAATAATGGGTCAGAAAAATCCCTTCATAGAGAATGATATTGTAATCAATTAATTAATAAGATATATTACTTAAGAAACAACAATTAAAAGATATTGAATTAAGAACTTGTTAGATGCACTTACCTGTGTAGGTTGTCAACTTGGTCGAAGCTAGAATCTCTTTACACTCATGTCAATTCAATATAACTCCATCAGACTGGAGTTTAATATTCAACTTTCTGAAAACTTTATGCAGTGAGTCACCATAGAATGTACACATAAATAGCTAATGTCAAGATAAAAGGTCACAGGTACACAGGTAGAGGGGTTTTATGTGTATACAGTGCAGTGTCACATTATGTACTCTCAATGGATGGATACCTGTTGATACAAGGGATTTAAATGCATATAAAGTTAACCTTTATGCATGCAGTCACTGCTACCACAATTTATACTACTTAAAACTAAATGATTAAAGGGGCAACCAATAAAAAGGACTGTAGAGAGAAAATTTGAATATTTATACTTTTTCTGAGCTATCAGGGAAACATTTGGCTTAACATCTTCTTTGACATACATATTTTCTTAGAATGTATGGATAAACTATCAATTTCAGCATTAAAAAGTGTAAATTCAGTTCAAAGCTTCTATAGAGGGAGTCCCACTGATATATTTTTAAGATTCACCATGTTTCAAGAGGAATATCAGCTGAAATAATGTTCATCCAGGGGGTTTCTTTGTAAATAATAAAAATATATGTTAGTCTTGAAGAAATAACAGGTTTTAAATATATTTTGACAATGGTCCACTCATTTTTTGCACCTTTAAATTGCATCAATTTGAATAAATATACAGTAAAACCTGTATATCTAAACACCTCTCTAATCTGAGCACCACTCAGTGTGAACATTTTTTTCTCTCACATTTTTTTAATCTGTCATAGATTTCCATGTTAAAGAAACCTCAAAATGTGAACATCTCTTTCCAAAAACTTTTAAATTGGCAATACCAGTTTCATTTCAATTAGACTTGTTCAATTGATTACAAAGAAAGGTTCATTAAAATGTCTGTTTATTTATCTATTTGTATACTATATAGTGATTGATGAATGATACATTATTATTGGTGATATGAAGTTCTGTGACTTCTTGACTTATTATTTAATGACCCTTTGTAAAAGGAGAACACATCTGTTAGTAGAACACCTCCTAAGTGAAACACTGTTGTGGGTGTTCTACTTAAAAGTTGTTTCCAAAGTGAACTTTCATCATTCCAATATCTATAATATTTAAGAAAGGTTAAAGTCAAAACTAACTTTTCGAAAAAAACATATTGACATTTGGCTTGGAACTTCAACAGATGCAAGGATATCACTAAGAGGAAACCACAAGAAGGTAATCATTAAAAAAATTATAGAATCTTCTAGAAAACAGGATAAAAGGGAAACAACACATAGGATATTATTAATTGATGTCCTAGAACAATGAGCATGAGAAGCAATTCAATACCTACACAAATGTACTACCTCATTATAATGTCATTAGTAAAAGAATAGATTAAAATAGATTCATCATATTGGATAGAATCATAAGTGTAGGTATGGTAATGTGGAGTAAATAAAGTCTTATTATATAGTCTATAGAATCAAGTCAAGCAATTTGAACTTCTGGGACTTTGTCATGTGGTTTGTTTGGTGCTGTTCCATTTAAATTTATAGAAACAAATACTGTACTCCTGGTAAATTTTGACGCTATAAAATTTCGAGATTTTTCAAAATTGCAATTTCGCGGCTATTTAATTTCGTGTATTTGAGTTGATGACATTTTGCGGATTGCACAAGTTTTTTCAGATTACCATGAATCAAGGCGTATCTGGCTATTTTAGCCCGTTCAGAATCTGAATTATGTTTGTATTTCCCACGTTTAGGGCGTTTATATCATTGTGGTCAACAGTTCTTGCCTTTGTTGGCCTAATAAGCCAATTCAAAATGTTAGACATTTCAGGCCTTTTTAGAATTATCGCCCAACAACACTGGACGAAACGTTTTACACCTAATGAAACATATAAAAAGTCCCGGGTCAAATCCCTGGGGATTTAAAAGACAAAATTCGCGACGATAAATGTTCGCGATTTTACTACATTCGTGAACAAAGCGACATTAAATCGCACATGAACAATACCCGGAGTACAGTATCTAAAAATTTAACACATCGTCAATTTAATAGTCCTCTTTTAAATGGTAACAATATAATTTGAAAAATATATACAGGGTGGTCCAAAAAAAAGTGAACCCCTGCAACAGGCTACATTTTTCTTAATACATGCATGAATTGGCTCATATTATCACATGTTGTAGAGAAAGGTCTAAAATTTTGGTTGATGCCATAATTTATTCTCAGTCTCAAATTTTGAAGAGATTACAAGCATTTAACAAACATGCCTGGAAATTAGATATTGTACAAAATTTTACAAATATGATTCACGGAAATTGTTGAAACACATTGGATGATTTTAAACAGCTTTCAGTTAGAGATACAAGTTTAAAACCCTACCATATGACAAAAGGGACACTATTCAAGCAGAAAACACATTTCACACTTTCATTGATCATTTTGAAGCATTTTTAACTGTTCAACAGTTCAGGGGTATGTTACCTACACCAACAGTTAGAGGGGGCCTCTTATGGAAGGAAGTTGCCCCCTGTGACCAGGAATCTGATAACCCCTTCATCAAATATCTTTAAAAAATCAAAATAAAATTCAATATTCAATGTTTTGAGCCATATATCATTAGAATTGGTCCATGATTTATGAAGATATTGACATTTCAAGATCATATAGGGGTATGTTCATGATTTCACTGGAAAATGTTTTCGTCTGTGGAAGCTTAGCACATCTCTTTGGATCACAATAACTTTGCAACTAACAAATGTAGAATGCTAGTTTTAAGCCATAATGTGCAGGATTTAAAATTGAACAAAGTCAGAAAATATTAGTTCTTTAAGACTGCAGCTTAAAAAATTCTCAGGGGAAAGGTGCTAAAGGGTTGAAGAATCGTGGATATTGAAAATCACAGTTTGTCCATTTTCAGTAATGTTTGGTTAGGGCTTATAATTTCTGCAAATTTCAAGACTAAGAAAAATGTATGGTACCACCATAAATTTTAGACCTTCCTCTACAACATGTGAAAATAAAAAAAGAATTCCTGCAAGTAATAAGGGAAATATGGCCAGTTGCAGGGGTTCACTTTTTTTTGGACCACCCTGTATATACTTTCATCTATATTGTTTTAGAAAACACATCAAACACTTGTTTTGTTCTTGGTATCATGTTTCCAGAGTGAAATGAAACATCTTTCCGAACCTCATTGGAACAAAACGACATAAACACAACATGTTTAGGTCTCTCAATATTGTAATTGAACAAAGGAAATTTTGGTTGCCTTTAAAAAAGTATCTTATTAATGAAATAAAAGGTTTATCTTGATTTTTATCTTTTTGGGGGGATTTTGTTTTCATTTTTTGAATACTTTTTTAAAATCAACTAAAATTCCTTTGTATAACTATAATATTGAGAGGTCTAAAAACATGTTGTATATGCTATTTTGTTCCAACAAGGTTCGGAAAGACATTTAATTTCAATCTCAAGAATTGGTAGAAAGGAGCAAAAATAATTGCACTAAAAACAATTGTCACCAAATTAAAAGACAACTGAAATAGCTTTTTCTCAACTTGCAGCTACAAAAATGCTGTTTTCTTCAGTGTAAGCCCGACATAGAGTTATTGCAATAGCCATTATAAAATAAATGTTAGATAACTGCTAATGGTCATAGATAACGAAATAAAATAACTGCTCGATCAAATTGGCCCCCATGTGATTAGTAACGTCATATATAAAATATGGCTTTGGTTTATTGGTTCCTTAGTAATCACAACATCACGGCAACCATAGTATTGTTGTGTAAACAAATAACGTAACAAAACATTTTGCCATTATGACGTCATGATCTAATGGACCAAAACGGGCCACGTGGGGACCAGTGAGAGATCACGTGGGGGCCAATAACGTCACAACCAATTCGAATATTGCTTATTAAGCAGCTATAACGATCGTTAGAGTGAAATAATTTTCACACTTCTGATGAGAAAACATGTCCAAATACATTTATCAAAAAATTATATCGATTTCTTTAGGTTAGAAATACCATTTCATATCTGCTTTAAGTAGCGCCAAATTAAAGACAAATACAGTACATGTGCCTCCCATCCACGGATGAGTGAGAAATGTATACAAGTTGGTACAATAGTACCCAAATAAGGAAAATCTTAGAAACAGCCATATTTGAAATGATGGTATTAAATCAGACCTTATTTGATATTCAGACAGTTTCAGCTGAAAAACAATGTTTCTAACTAAAAAAAAAAAAACAAGTAAAAAAATTGTTTCATCTAATACAGAATCTGTGCTTCGTCTTTATTTGGGTAAAACAAATTTGAATCATGTTTGAAGTCAAGTTACTCCTTCACACTAATGATTTACAAATACAATATCTGTATGTCCTCAAAACTACAGGTTACTTTATAGCCCTTTCCACTTGCAAATTTTGATTTCATAAACATACTTCTGGGAATCTGCATATTTTACTCTAACACATAGTGATAGACATTTTTATTTTCCTCATACAACCCTTTCACCATTTCTTTATTACATGGTAGCATCAATATTAAGTAACATTAGACCTAAACCTTGTGGCTAAAAGCCAGAATTTCAGATCTATAGAGGGTGACACAATTGCAAGCAATATGTACAATTGATCTACCAATGTATTCTTAACAAGCTCAAATAGAATATCTCCCAAAAGATTCAACAGCCATACATGATAATTTCAAGATCAAAGTTCAACTTACCTGAGGCTAGCCACTGGCCTGTGTTATCAACTGATATGCACCTCACTAATCCAGTGTGGCCTTCATACAACTGGAAAAACAACAACATTTACTATTTGTATAATGTGTAATATTATGTGTACTTTCAATGTTAGATAATAAAGAAATGGTGTACATTAAATTCAATAATGTGTTCCAATACTACAGTTTAAAAAATGTAAGGATATAAAAGGCATTAACAAGACAAAATGTCACCACCTGCAAATGGTTACAAAAATTTTACAAACGGTACAGAGACTGACCGATGCTTACAAACACTAAATGCAAGACACAACAATATGTCAACACTTCTTCGTAATGGGATAAAAAGCAATTGTTTGAGCTATTCTTTAAGATGCATATCTATACTTACTATGGCTTGCACAGTAGGGAAAGGCTGAAGGTCTTTTGGTTTTGGTAATTTTGGTAGTAAATCTTCAAGGTCAACATTCATCTAAAACATAAATAGTACTATAGAATGATGTACACATACACATTAGCCCCATAACCAGCTTTACATAGGAGAGAGGAGAAAGGGGGACGGGTTAACGGGTCCAGAAACAGGCTCCCTGTTTTATTGTAATCTTCTAAAGAAAACATGAACAAAATAGGTTTGAGACACCAATGAGACACCAACTCCCCATTTTCTGCAGATGAAGAATAAGACATAAAATATATCAGGAGTTTCATTCAGCCATTAGCAGCAGGCAATTAAATAGGAAATTGTCTCTATATGCCAGTTGTTTTCAATAATTTCAGTTATTTTGCCTCCAGTTGTTTTCATTCATTTTTGTTGTCAGAAATTGTTATGAAGTTCATAGTTAAACACGAAGAAAATATGTGTTGAGGAAACACAACATACCCTCATTTTTCTCTGTCTTGGGCACAGGTAGAGATCCAGACATCTCTCGAACCTCTCATTGATAAACCTAGAGTAGGCGGGAACATGACGTAAACAACTAAACTTTTGTGGAATGAAATTCTGCCTTCTGTCTTCTGGTTCCTTTTCCTTCCATGCAAGTTCCTTTAAAATTCAGAGTAATTAAACATTGTTATTGAAAGATTCTACAATGTCTTAAACTTCATCTAATCGTTGCCTGTCTGAACAAAATGAGATACATTTAATTACCTTGGACTTTAACATGGGTTTGTATACATATAAGTTAACAGATCATCTTTTTTATCAATGTTTTTGTATTTTTGGCATGTCTGAAGGTGGTTAATGTTGCCAAAAGACTAAATGCATGAGACCATTCAAAGTTAGTTTACAAAAGATAATGTAAACAATGGTGTCAGAATACCCCTAAATTTCATGTGACATAAGACAAATACAGTAGTTCTGCTATTTTTAGGAATACATGTTGCTCTTTGACAACATGGCATTCACACAAAGTGTGTAAAAACAGAATACAATATCATTTAATTTAGTATTACCTCTTCTTCTGTAAATAGATACTCAGGTGGAGGGTTGTATGACTCAGCATGTCCTGGTAGTGCCAACTTAGGTGCAGGAATATGATGCTGGAACCGTTTGCTAATCTCAGACTGAAATAAAAACAAAACGGTTATGACAAGGATGATCTCTATAACAATATGGTACTTGTAAAAAGTTATAAACATTTTAGATAAATTGTTTTAAACTGTTTTATACTTGAAATTTATTGCTTAATGCTGCTTAAAGCTTGTAAACCCAAACAAACTTCTTTTTCTTTTATGATGAAGCAATCTGGATTTTGAATAAACAATTTATAATTCGACTGATTAAACTTGACTTTCACATGATTGTAGAGAAAATGTGATGGTTTCAACAAACCCAGTTATACAGGGTGGTCCAGAAAGTGTCTACCTTATTCAATTCCTTCAAAACATTTTACTTATGATGCCCTCAGCATTCATGACACTGTATATACCTGGTCTTCATTACTCCATAGATTGTAATAATTTGGCTGCTCATCATCATCTGTCTTTGGGGGTCTGGGTTTGATCCAACCCATCTTCATAGCATGGACCAGCCTACCAACCTGAAATAATGGCCCGAAGTTTGAACTTTGTATTAAAGTAGATGATCCATTAACATGCACATTTTTATTTTTTTCTTTCTAATGCATGATTCTGTACCCAAAATTTGTAACTGATAGCTGTAAGGTTTAATGGAAAAGAGATATCAATCGGACATACAAGACATGCCTTGGCTGAGAGTATGCCTAACTTTGTGTAGCGGAGGACATAAAAAGATTTGACTACTGAATACATGTGTAACTAGACCTGACATATAATCTGAGGCTTCCGTAATGTGAAAATAAACTTGGTTCGTAATTGAAAGATTGAAGACACAATTAGACAATAAGCCACATCAAAAGAGATGAATATGAATTATACTTCCCATCCTCCATAGTACTATTTTCATGACAAATTTCCATTTTATTGGTCTGCGACTAATGTTCACATTATTTAAACTGAACTCTGTACATCATTGGCTAATCCCCTTCTCTACCCTTACCTTTAGTTTCTCCCATCTTGATGGAACAAAGCTGCGTTTGTGTTCCGGTCTGTTTGTTACAGGATGTATCATCTTTTCATATGTGAAGAAGTCTACCCAAGGCTGCAATATCAATGTGGAAGTTAAATAAATGCTTCAATAACTAGAAAAGTTTCTAAATTATATTTTTAATTAGATAATTTTTTTCAACTAGTCTATTCACATTGTCTAATTTTAAAAGGTTTACTTAAATGGAGAGTTACAGGTTTTTCACATCAGTGTAAAATCTCCAACAGTTGAATGCATGTAATTTGATGATCATCACACATGGCTTGCTCAAATAATTAGAAACTACAGAAAATGCTCCCAAAACAAAATTGAAAGTGATATAAATCGAAATCAGAGCAAAACGTTGTGGCAGAGTCCAGTAGCACCTTACCTCATATGGATCACCAACTCCAGTAGGATAACCTTGACCTTTAACCTTCTTTATAGTGGCAATGTCCTCTTCTGTTAGAGTCACATCCTGGCCAGTTAGTTTATCCTTTACAGTTCGCCTGAAAATCATATATATATGTATATATATTGGTTACATTTGTTGAAACATACTACAGTAGAACCTGTGTATATAGGGAACATTATAAAGCAGCACCCTTTATAATAGTCTGATTTCACCAGCTTCATCAACATCGAGGCTCTGAGAATTTGAGCAAAACAAGTGTTCGCTGTAAATAGGTTTTCATAATATAAAATGCTTTTAGGTTGATGGAGTATTTTCAGGCAATTGGTGTTCAAATAGAGGGACTGGTGTTCATTAGAGATAGGTGTTAACTAGGACAGGTTTTATTGTATATTTTAGACCAAACCATTATAATGGATACTAGATATTTTTGTTTTGTGATATCCTTGCGGGGAAAGAGTAATAATCAGTGGAGACGATAACCCCATTTGACGTGAAGTACGGCAATCGCCATGTGTTGCACGGAATGTACTAAAAACCCTTCGACCCTTCGACCCTACGACCTACGACTTACAGGGTTTCAAGAATTTTTGGAATATACCCTTAGGAAAAAACCCATGTTTTTACATGCGTGGCGAAAGAGGGCACATGTTCTTACTTTACTTCACTTTAGTTCGCTTCATTTTGCCCCATGTGTGTCGTGGCATGTTGTTGTAAAAACAAGAGATGGCACTCTTGATTTTACTCCACTTTTACACGGGGCAAACTGTGGCAGAACATGAACAATGTGGCAAAATCATGTAACTCTTGTCTTGGTTTTACATGACTCCGCCATGTTTTTCCCACTGTGTTTAAGTATGGGGAATCGTGGTTACATGAAATAACATGAAATGTAGTACATTTTAGAGAAAATAGAGGGACTTACTTATGCTCCTTAATTCACCTGGTTAGATGTTTTTTATTTCATTCTATTTTTATTATTTTACATTTCTGACAGTTTTTAGGCATTAAGGAGCCCTAACCAAATAAACTATGAAAAGGTAGATTTTCTTTTGGAAACCAACTTCTCGAGTTAATCATATTTTCATATTCTAAAACTGCATCCATGAACCTGTAGTTAAAGCTGTATATAGTAGAAAATTGAACCTGTAGTAAGTAATTGAACCTATAGTTGAACCTGTAGTTGAGAGTTTTACATGTAATTGAATTGAACCTATAGTTGAACCCGTAGTTGAAAGTTTAACATGTAATTAAATAGAACCTATAGTTGAACCCGTAGTTGAGAGTTTAACATGTAATTGAATTGAAACTATAGTTAAACCCGTAGTTGAGAGTTTTACATGTTATTCAATGAACCTATCGTTGAACCCGTAGTTGAGATTTTTACATGAAATTGAATAGAACCTATAGTTGAACCCGTAGTTGAGAGTTTAATATGTAATTGAATTGAAACTATAGTTGAACCCGTAGTTGAGAGTTTTACATGTTATTCAATGAACCTATAATTGAACCTATAGTTTGTCAGTTTAGTTGAAAATAGAACCTATAGTTGAACCTGTAGTTTAGAGTTTTACATTTAACTGAATAGAACCTATAGTTGAACCCGTAGTTGAGAGTTTTACATGTTATTCAATAAACCTATAATTGAACCTATAGTTTGTCAGTTTAGTTGAAAATAGAACCTATAGTTGAACCCGTAGTTTAGAGTTTTACATTTAATTGAGTAGAAACTATAGTTGAACCCGTAGTTGAGAGTTTTACATGTTATTCAATGAACCTATAATTGAACCTATAGTTTATACGTTTAGTTGAAAATAGAACCTATAGTTGAACCCGTAGTTTAGAGTTTTACATTTAACTGAATAGAACCTATAGTTGAGAGATTTACATGTTATTCAATGAACCTATAATTGAACCTATAGTTTGTCAGTTTAGTTGAAAATAGTTTAGAGTTTTAGAGTTTAAAAATTCATGTTTCATCACAACCATGAATAACAATTTTCAATTCGATTACATGTTAATCTCTCCCAACTACGGGTTCAACTATAGGTTCAATTCGATCACATGTAAAACCCTCAACTATGGGTTCAACTATAGGTTCAATTCAATTACATGTAAAACTCTCAACTACGGGTTCAACTATAGGTTCAATTCAATTATATGTAAAACTCTCAACTGCGGGTTCTATTTTCAACTAAATCTGGCAAACTACAGGTTCAATTAAATAACAAGTTAGTTTCAAACTACGGGTTAAACTATAGGTTCAATGAGTAATATGTAGAACCATAAACTATGGGTTTAACTATAGGTTCAATTCGATTACATGTAAAACTCTCTCAACTACAGGTTCAACTATAGGTTCAATTTAACATGGGTTAATATGGGTTCAACTGTATTCCATTACATGTAAAACTCTCAACTACAGATTCAAATTTAACTCAAGATTAATGTTTCGGGGTGCATCATTGTTAAATTATATTTTTTAATTCTCTATAGTATTACAAGTAATGAAATAATTTAGTGTAACAGAAACAGCTTCAATTATGTGATTTATCTGTAATTATTAATTTGGAGAAAAAACAATTGCAACATATTTTCTCTGATTTACATAGAGTTATTCCTTATATTTCATGTAAAATGTGGACATTGAGAAGAATATATAAGAAACTTGTGGGCAAATGGAGCAAAGTAAAGCAAAAACTGAAAAAGTTCATGCATTTCATGGCAAAGTGTGGCGGCAAAATAAACAAATGCCAATTAAGAAAAGTAAACAAGTAAACAAACTCAGTAGGATATTTTGTTTAAATTTTGGCATATTAACATGTTAACTTGCAGTGTGAATTTGATCAGATTAGAAAATAATAAATTGCTATTTTAAGAAATTAATAAAAACATTTTTCTTGTTCTAGTAGAATTATTGGTCAAAAAATTGAAATAATTGAACAATTAAAAGAAAAATGTAATGACTCAGTTTAAATGTCCAAAGATTGACTGAAAGTATCAAGGTTCAGTTGAATAATGTCATTCACTTAAAACTACAGTTAGTACGTTAAACCCTCAACTACGGGTTCAACTATAGGTTCAATTTGATTACATGTGAAACTCTCAACTAAGGGTTAACCTAAAGGTTCAATTCGATTACATGTAAATCTCTCCCAACTACGGGTTCAACTATAAGTTCAATTCAATTACATGTAAAACCCTCAACTACAGGTTCAACTATAGGTTCAATTCAATTACATGTAAAACTCTCAACTACGGGTTCAACTATAGGTTCAATTCAATTATATGTAAAACTCTCAACTACGGGTTCAACTATAGGTTCTATTTTCAACTAAACTGGCAAACTACAGATTCAATTAAATAACAAGTCGGCTTCAAACTACGGGTTCAACTATAGGTTCAATTGAGTAATATGTAGAATCATAAACTATGATTGAACAATTAAACCCTCAGTTTAAATGTCCAAAGATTGACTGAAAGCATCAAGGTTCAGTTGAATAATGCCATTCACCTAAAACTACAGTTAATACGTTAAACCCTCAACTACGGGTTCATCTATAGGTTCAATTTGATTACATGTAAAACTCTCAACTAAGGGTTAAAAAAATGTAAAGACTCAGTTTAAATGTCCAAAGATTGACTGAAAGCATCAAGGTTCAGTTGAATAATGCCATTCACCTTAAACTACAGTTAATACGTTAAACCCTCAACTACGGGTTCAACTATAGGTTCAATTTGATAACATGTAAAACTCTCAACTAAGGGTTAACCTATAGGTTCAATTCGATTACATGTAAAACTCTCCCAACTACTGGTTCAACTATAGGTTCAATTCGATTACATGTAAAACCCTCAACTATAGGTTCAACTATAGGTTCAATTCAATTACATGTAAAACTCTCAACTACGGGTTCAACTATAGGTCAATTCAATTATATGTAAAACTCTCAACTGCGGGTTCTATTTTCAACTAAACTGGCAAACTACAGGTTCAATTAAATAACAAGTTAGCTTCAAACTACAGGTTCAACTATAGGTTCAATTGAGAAATATGTAGAACCATTAACTACGGGCTTAACTATAGGTTCAATTCGATTACATGTAAAACTCTTTCTAACTACAGGTTCAACTATAGGTTCAATTGAACATGGGTTAATATGGGTTCAACTGTATTCCATTACATGTAAAACTCCACTACGGATTCAAATTTAACTCAAGATTAATGTTTAGGGGTGCATCATTGTTAAATGATATTTTTTAATTCTCTATAGTATTACATGTACAAGTAATGAAATAATTTAGTGTATCAGAAACAGCTTCAATTATGTGATTTATCTGTAATTATTAATTTGGAGAATAAACACTTGCAACATATTTTCTCTGATTTACATAGAGTTATTCCTTATATTTCATGTAAAATGTGGACATTGAGAAGAATATATAAGAAACTTGTGGGCAAATGGAGCAAAGTAAAGCAAAAACTGAAAAAGTTCATGCATTTCATGGCAAAGTGTGGCGGCTAAATAAACAAATGCCAATTAAGAAAAGTAAACAAGTAAACAAACTCAGTAGGATATTTTGTTTAAATTTTGGCATATTAACATGTTAACTTGCAGTGTGAATTTGATCAGATTAGAAAATAATAAATTGCTATTTTATGAAATTAATAAAAACATTTTTCTTGTTCTAGTAGAATTATTGGTCAAAAAATTGAAATAATTGAACAATTAAAAGAAACATGTAATGACTCAGTTTAAATGTCCAAAGATTGACTGAAAGCGTCAAGGTTCAGTTGAATAATATCATTCACTTAAAACTACAGTTAGTACGTTAAACCCTCAACTACGGGTTCAACTATAGGTTCAATTTGATAACATGTAAAACTCTCAACTAAGGGTTAACCTATAGGTTCAATTCGATTACATGTAAAACTCTCCCAACTACGGGTTCAACTATAGGTTCAATTCGATTACATGTAAAACCCTCAACTACAGGTTCAACTATAGGTTCAATTCAATTACATGTAAAACTCTCAACTACAGGTTCAACTATAGGTTCAATTCAACTATATGTAAAACTCTCAACTACGGGTTC